CGTTTACTATAACCCCTTCGCATGCCGAGTCGATGGTTGCCTTTGCTCCAGCGTTTTGACTCCTGTTTGATACTTTCACGTTCAGGCGTATGGGGGTGATGATACGGTCGTTCATTGCTCCGATACGAATACAAGTGCGGGCATCAAATTCGGGTCGTCCTTGACCTCTCTCCTTCGCTGGCGAGGGAGAGGTCAGGAAAAACGCTCCGCGTGTCCCAAGATCACTTCTCTTGCTTCATCTTCCCCTAGTTCTCCGAGTACTGCTCCGATTCGAGCAGAATGACTGACGCTTCCGTCTCCCCGTCGTCCGTTAGGTAACATAGCGCGTTGCCCATGGTTCGTTTGGGGTCGTCCGGATGAGGTAGAGTGAGGACGTTCCATCGAAGGACCAGGTTGTGGTACCCGCTGGTTGTTGCGAGGGACATCCTCTGTCTCCATTCCTCGATATATTCCCGCTTGGTTTCCCATAGCGGGTGCGTCGTCTTCTCCCTCCAAATCAACCGCGCGGTTTCCTCTCCCTGTCGTACCCAGGCGTCTTTTCGAGTTTCCTCGAACTGGGCGAACGCCTCTGCGGGGTGACCAACAGTTAGCGCTAGAGTGCCCTGGCTTTCCGCAGTTGGAGCAGGAGGTGGTTCGCTTGCCGTCAAATTTTCTCTTTTGACTTTCGGCGTTACGCTTTCTGGTAGCGTCAATGTCCATGTCAACCACCTGGTTGTTCATTCTGCGAGGGGCGTTTGTGGAGTTGTAGCGGGGAGAGATTTGGTTATGAAAACGATTCAGATAATCGCTTCGAAAGGAGGTGGAGTTGGCGAGGATGGCTTTTTGAGCTGTTCTGGCTCGAAGTCGTCCATCTATTTCGCAGGCTGTATTGATCCAGTCCTGAATCGTATCCTTTGGCTGAACTTCCTTGTCGTATATTTTGTCCATGACGCGCGGGTCTAACCCGCGTTGGAAGTAAGGGACTTGCTCTTTATCGGAGATGTCGGCATCGGCGGCGATGAGAATGAATTGGTTGGAGTATTCATCAACCGTCATTCGTCCTTGGGAGAAGGCCATAAGTGCGCTTCGCGCCTTGTCGGTCTTGCCCGTCTCCCTGAACTGTAATTTGAACTTGGCTAAAAAGTCCTTCCAGGTGCCTAGATCGGTAGGTGGATCCGCTCCTACTGATTTGAGGAGGAAGTTCTCCGCCCAAGCTCCCGCCGTGCCGTATCTCATGCATGAGAGCACAAGGGATATTTTGTCTTGATCGGTCTTGTACCGATCGGATTCTGCTGCGAAAAGAAGGAGGCATTGGAGCATGAATTTCTGGGATTCAATGCGGTCGCCTGTGTAATTGTCTGGGAGTTTGACTTTTCCTCTTCCGGGTTGTACTGTCGCGGAAGGGGTGTTTGTAGAAGTCGAAGCTTGTCCCAACATTTCGGCGAGTGGTTCGTTTCGGGTGTTGATCGGTGTTTGGTCTGGTGAGTCGGAGTCTGATTCCGAGGTTGTTTCCTCTTGCTCCGAGTCTTCGGGGATTACCGGCGCCGGTTCCCTGTATTGTGGGGCTAGTTCCCACTGAGCTTCTGTTTCGTTCCAAATATCCTCTTCTACTGTTCCGTCTTCAAGTGTGAAGTAATAACGCCCGTTTCGGTATGAGCAGTTATCGTAATTCGGAGGGGCAGTTCCGTTGTTGTCTTCGTAGACCCAGAAGTCCCCTTCGCGCCGGATAGGGCGATTGTTGTGATGGAGTTGGTTATTGATAAGTCTAGTGCCGGGTGGGTATTCCTGGCCTAGGTCTTGCTCCAGAGTGTGTGCAGTAACGCTCTCTCAATGGGGGTCTATATCCCCACTGAGCAAGGTTATGAGAGAGAGTGTGGCAGCAAGCTAGTGCGAGCAAGGTAGGGGCAGAAGAGTCTATTCTAGTGTTACGACTGCTCGTCGGTAACCCCAAGAGTAGGAGGTTCTTCCCTAGGTCACTCGTGGAGGATGTGTGGAACGGCGGTCTCGACTGTACGTGTAGCACAGGAGCCAGAAGTGTATTGCGATGTAGCAATGAAAATAGACAGTATGAAGACTGCCTAAGGATGAAGGAGTACTGTAGGAAGACAGTACTGAACGAAGATCCCTGTATGTGAAGATACAGGGGAACGAAGAGAATAGACTGAAGATCGTCAGCCTATTCTATGGGCCTTTTATACTACTTTGGGAAGTAGGGCGTGAGAATACCGAATATGTATCTGTAGGTATTCTCTAAGTCGTCTCTCTCAATAACGACTACTCTTGTGCTTCTCCGTTGGTCTCCTTCCGGCCAGGAGAGACTAGGAGGTTCATGCCCTGCGTGTGAGTAATTTATAAGGCGGCGTTCCATGCCCGCTAATACAAGGCCCGTGATACTCGACCAATGATTGATGATCCATTGGGAGTGGATGACCAAGGTTAATATCTGTACCTTGGTGTACGCCTCAACCCGTGAGGCCGCGTGATATTTGTGATGATCGTATCGGTATAGACCGCCGTGTAGGCCCGATAGAACGTGATCATAACAATGTGCGCCATAAGCCGGTTGGTCCTTATTGCTTATCTTCCCGACTTCCACATGGTCAGTCAAACACAATCTTGCACCATTGCTTGGCCACCCTGGTCGTACGTTACATCTTTTTTATTTTCATTGGCTCATCAACGCCTGTTCTGACTACCTACACTTAGGTGACGGATCCTGAACATTTGGGATTTCACCATCACTAATTAACTTTTACCTTGTCACCTTCAGAACCCATATGGACATCTCACCTACCTTCTTATCTTCTCTGATCGCTAGGGCTTGGCACCCATTCAACATCTACTCTCATTTCATGTTCAATATTTTACTCAGGGGCTCTGTTTACTATAAAAACCTACATACAACTCTGGAATAAACCAGCTTTTGCACCCCATAGTTCAGAGCTCATTTGCACTCGTCTCAACCATCAAAATTATCTTCATCACTTCCTGAAAACTTGTCATCCTTGCCATTCGGCCTTGTTTGTGTTTGTATTTGACTCTTTGCTCGTACCCCTCATCCTCCCTCATATATTGTCAGAGTCCCGTATGGCTCTTGAAGCACGTAGTTGTTAGTCGCAACACTACCTTCTCATTACTGACCAAACCGTCAACACGACTGACTGAATGTTTGGTTGGTGTTTGGTGCAGTCCCGAAACCATTTGGGCGCTATAATCTCATACTCCTCACTGCTTCTCAGTGTGCCATCAATCTCTAAAAGTCATCACTAACAATTCCTTGTGTATCAGATACTAGCTTCAGCACCCCCTGCATTAGAGGTTGTTTTGGTGTTGTGCTTGGCACTTAGAGCCACCTCTAGCGTAACACTGGGTCAGTTTGCCCATACTTCACATACTTACCATGACTACACAGGAGTGTTATAATAAGTGTTTACAAGATCAGAGCCAGTATTCCATGTTGGCCAATGTCCTCTATGAGTTAGTGGAGTAGGGAAGCAAAGAGAAGAGGATCAGATATGCAGAGAGCAGCAGATAGTGGAGAATGGAGAGAACAGGAGTAGGAGATGCTGTAGACATTAGTCAGCAACATCCCCCACAGTAGCCACAGGATGTATGGTAGACAGACATAAATGAGATAGAGCAACATAACTGACAATCCCTGCCCACTCCATCTTGGTGACGAGATTGCAATTTGCAACAATGCATTACCAAAAGATTGCTACTACAACTGCCAACAACAAAGTCACACTGGCACCAATACCCCCAGAAAACCACAGTATTGAATAACAGTTGAACAACCCCGCACTATATATCAGAGACTTGCATGGATAATTTCTACAGAGACTGCCCACAGCCACATAATCCCCACACTCCTCTTCCATATTCTCAACACTATTTATCTCCACATCTATTGAGTTTTTATCCCACTACTCCACTAGCATTTTTTGTAGCAAAACCCCAAACAACTACAGCCTCCAGCCTACCATAACACACATCCTATCACAACTACTGCTACCCACTGGATTCATCACACCAACAATCACTGCACCTGCCATCCTAGCTCTTGTAATCCTTCCAAATAGACCACATATGGCAGAAAAGGTTAAACCATTCTCAGGCAACTTAGGGGCTGCAGAGAGCCCCCAAGACTTCCTTCATACATTCTAATGTATACACTTTGACACTAAAGAAATCCTCACAATCAGCTGATTCTTGTTCTATGTCAAGTCTAGGCACAGCACAGATGGCTGGTTCAATGGCCTAACAGCAACCCAAACTGCCAACTGGATGGCTTTCAAGGCCGCCTTTTTGGAACAATGGCCAAAGTCAGAATGCACTCAAAAACAACAAGGAGAATATGGGGATGAAATCTTAAAACTTAGGTTTCAAGATAAAGATTTGGGCAAAAAAGTTAATGACAGAGGAATCGAGGTTTGTACCCATGTAAAATGGGCCAATGATGCCTTACAACTCATAATACAAGCTAGACTGGCTATATCCTCTTCGTACATCTAACCTGTCAGATGGCACCTTCCCGACATCCTGAAAACTGAGATTGGGTTTATGCACACTAATTGGATGACTCATAAAAGCCATACATGGTGTTAACTTGGAAGCCATTTTCAATTACATCAACCATATAGCAATCAAAGCAAAGAATGAAATACATCTGCACATTATGATACAGACAGTCACCAACAACTGCCCTAGTAGATTTTGAGCCCTTCCCTTCACAACACTTCTTGTCCAGCTGATACCCATATAGCCTAGTGTAGCACCTAGTATCCCCAGCCTGCAACACACAACTGATGGATATGCCAATGCCCCATTCAGGGGTGTTTATGTAAATATGTCCACACTATTCAATGAGGAGCATTGGCCACTAGGCAGGCAACCCCTCTCTGAGACCAAATGCTGCAACCTCAGCCACTTCCTCAACCTCCTCCCACACCACCCTGCCACAGTCAATGGCACTCCATTATACAACCAATAAGTTGTCAATTGGACTGCCCTCCATGTTCATGGTGGCCGAGCCTATATTTAATGTGGATGGTATGGCTAACAAAGGAGGGAAAATTACAGACAAAGCTTGCCTGTTGATGAGAATGGAAAACAAAGGAGATTACCATGACGAACAGTATGAGTTGTTAGCTACTAACCTAGGAGGAGAAGACATAATCCTAGAAACAGACTGGCTACACAAGCACAATCCACAGATTGATTGGGTAAAAAATAACCTCACATTCTCAACCTGTGCAGAACGGTGCCTAGTCAGCTGACCCAGATTTACTATACAGGCACAACTCCTTCTGCAATCAAAAAACATGAGGGCGATTGGATACTCAAAGATAGAAGACGAACCAGAAGAAGAAGAAGTGGATGAGACCTTCTTTTCCGATGATACGCTAGAGGTAGCTCTAAGTGCCAAGCACAACACCAAAACAACCTCTAATGCAGGGGTGCTAGAGCTAGTATCTGATACACAAGGAAATGTTAGTGATGACTTTAGAAAGGGAAGGCGTACTGAGAAGCAATCGGGGAGTGTGAGATTATAGCGCCCAAATGGTTTCGGGACTGCGCCGAACACCAACCAAACGTTCGGTCAGTTGTGTTGGCAATGTGGTCGGTAACGAGAAGGTAGTGTCACGACCGACAACTACATGCTTCAAGAGCCACACGGGACTCTGACAATATACGAGGGAGGATGAGGGTATAAGCGAAGAGACGAGTACGAACGCGAATGAAGCCAAACAATGAGGATGACAAGTTTTCAGAAGTCGACAAAGATGATTTCGATGGTTGAGATGAGTGCGACTGAGCTCTGAACTATGGGGTGCAAAAGCTGGTTTATTCCAGAGTTGTATGTAGGTTTCTATAGTAAGAAGAGCCCCTAAGTAAAATATTAAACAAGAAATGAGAGTAGATGTCAAATGGGTGCCAAGCCTTAGCGATCAGGGAAGATAAGAAGGTAGGTGAGATGTCCATATGGGTTCCGAAGGTGACAAGGTAAAAGTTAATCAGCAATGGCAAAATCCTGACCATTTGGGATCCGTTGCCTGAGCGTAGGTAGCAGGAACAGGCATTGGAGAACCAATGAAAAATAAAGAAGAGGTATTGTACGACCAGGGTAGCCAAGCAATGGTACAAGATCACATTTGACTGACCATGCGGAAGTCGGGAAGATAAGCAATAAGGACTGACCAACTCACAGAAAACATCAGCCGATACGGAATACTGGCTCTGATTTCATAAACACTTATCGTAACACTCCTATGTGGTCATGGTAAGTACATGAAGTGTGGGCAAACTGACCCAAGTGCTGCCAAACATCCTTCGGTGGATTGTCGTCAGTCGGGTAGGGACCGACCGTGTTCGGTAAAAGTTGGTGTCTTCGGTACTTGTCTAGCGCTATTCGGTATCTCTCCAAAGCTTCTGAATACCTTCCTCGGACCCTAGCGCGGGTGAATGCTCATCACCAAATTCCATGAAGAGTGGTACTACCAATATCCGCTTGAAACACACCCACTTAAAGCAATCTACACCAGATCAATCAGAAACAAATCACAGAAACTAGCAGAAATAGCAAACAAGAAAAAGGTGGAATGGCCTATAGAATAAATAGTCCCAACATATATCCTCAAATGCTTTGCTAAAATCTTTAGTCAAGAAGCCTTGCAACGACTACCGGAACATTTGTGATGGGATCATAAGATTGATATGAAACCAGGATAGGAACCAACCAGATGCAAGTTATACCCTCTGACAGAAGAAGAAGAAGACAAATTACATAAGATGCTCCAGGAACACCTGAAACGGGGAACCATCAGAATATCCAAATCCCCGCAAGCATCACCATTCTTCTTTGTAAAAAAGAAAGAAGGGGACCTGCGACCAGTCCAAGACTATCACAGAATAAATGAGTGGACGATAAAGAACAAGTACCCACAACCCCTAATTGATGACGTAATAAGAACCATTGCCAAATCAAAAGCAAAGATCTTCTCGAAGTTCGACATCAAATGGGGGTACAACAATATCCGCATAGCAAAAGGTAATGAATGAAAGACAGCCTTCATAACCAAGTTCGGCCTCTTCAAATGCCTGGTCATGTTCTTTGGCCTTTGTAACTCGCTAGCTATATTCCAAACCATGATGAACATAATCTTTCACGACCTCATTGTTGCGCAGGTTTTGGCAGTATACATGGACAATATCCTGGTATTCATAAAAACCATTGAAGAGCACCAGCAGGTAACGACTCAAGTTATGCAGATACTTCTAGACAATGACCTATTCCTGAAACCTTCTAAATGCTTCCTTTGAAGCAGACATGGTCGAATACCTCAGATTCATCATTTCCACGGATAACATATCCATGGATCCGGTCAAGATAGATGGGATCGCTGCATGGCCAAAGCCAAAAAACCTAAAGGAAGTACAGTCATTTCTCGGGTTCAGAAACTTCTATAGAAGGTTTATCAAAGACTTTGCCACAATGGCACGACCCACAATCTAATAAAAAAGGATGTGCCATTCACATCTGGAAAACCACCCCTTTGTATCAAGCTCTAATTAGTTCTATTTATGCATAATTAAGAATGATTAGGATTAGACATTTTTAGCTTACCCCCCTTCTAAACCTGTTCTAATTAGACATAATTTTCCTAAATTAGGAATTATTAGGATTCATTATAACTTGAAATTTCGGAAAAATCATAATAAATCAAGCATCACAATTCTCATAGCCTTCTTATAGAGTCATGTCTATTAGAGCACTAGTTCAATACCTAAACACAGAATATACCTTATAACAAACTTGCCTTCTGCCAGAGTTGAACCAACAACCTCATGTATGCAAGCACCCAGGACAGATCCTCTAAGCCACTAAGCCACAAGGTCTAAGATATGAACTTGGTAATCTAAATAAGTAGACATAATATAGGCAACCTCAACATCTCTGATTTCATTCAACATTCATCTTTCCTCTATCTTATAAATAAATAGGTCAATAAACACCTAAAAAGTCAGGTCTTTCAGGATTTAGTTTAAACACTAGCTAAGAAGATAATAAACCAATGGAAAATCAATGATACACTTTATATAGGGTAAAAATAAATTATGGCACTTATACAATTTGGACTGAGAATGTGAAAAACTATGATTGAGTATAATATTCAATGGGACTCTACTAGTATAGGCAATGCTACCTGAATTTGCAAATTTGATTAAAAACATGATTATGAATAATCAAGATCCAATAAGAGAGAGGGGTTTTCCAAATAGCCACTAGTGAGGTAGAGGGTGGGGACAAGAGTATATATATGGCATGCCTATATATAAATAAGCACAAGATTGTTGGAGGTGATCTTGATATGCTTAATGCATATATTTCCTATATGGCAGGCAAATATATCATTCTGGCACCACATACCAATATGACTGTCTTTTCCACAGCCTAATAGCTAGAGGAAAACACCAAGTTTGAGCATCTTTTGTACAACAAGGCAATGAACAATATAAATAGTGCTAAAAATTGTAATATCAATAGTGATGATGATTGTGTGCTGCACAAGACAGTATTAGCCACTATACTAATAGACAAGGTCTATAAGGCTGCATATAGCATATCCCTAAGTCCAACCCACATGTTGTGTCCTATAATGACCAGTAGCAGGTATTGGCTAACAATGACAAGTTTAATGATCTTGTGTGCAAGGACAAGGTACCTGGGTCTTCATAGCCTTTTGTGGCAGCTGCCAAGCTGCCAACAAAGTGACTGGGAGCATCAATGCACATTTCTCTCTTTCTATATTCCTTGTAAAGGCAGCTGGAAAGTCAGCAAAAGACCTACAAGATAATGGTATAGGCATATATGAAGGAGAGGTAATATGCTAAAATTGTATAGAATGTGCCACATTTTTATCTTCTCACTGATAGATCAGTAGTACTTACTATTTCCTACTGATAATTAAAGACTTCTTAGTATAGAATTAGTGCTAATATCATGAAATTAGAAACCAATCCAATGCTCACAATGTGTTGCTCCCAATTAGGAAATTAGACACTTTAGATGCTATTAACACTTTTAGATACTTTTAGACACTATTAGATATAATCCGGAGCTAATACAAGAGGGTGTTTTTCCAGATGAACCCACAAACAATACTTCAAGAGAGGATAGAGAGGATGGTTGGGACTGATCAGACTAGTGTCTTTGAATCAGAGAAGACTGTATAAATAGCAGTTCTTAGATTAGACAGAAGTAGATAGCCTAAGGCTTCCCTACTGCGCTGCAGTGCTTTAAATATGTACAAGTGAAAGCATGGACCAAGTATCAGTGGATCAGGGACACGGGGTAAAGTTGGGAGAAAGGTCTTATGTGTCCTTATATAGAAGGTGTGAAAATTAGGTATGCATAAGCAAGATGTTTCATAGCAAGAAGTCGCCATTTGGCCTATACTGGTCTTGGAGATGAGCACCGAAAGCATCAAGAGGTGTGCTTGTCAGCTGAGTTTGGTTTTTGACATGGTGTATGAGGGGTGCAAGGTCTTGGGAAATGTTTTGTATGTTTTGGATTTGTCACACAAGATGTCCAAAAAAGCATAGGATTAGAGACAAAAGGGATTTTTGAGTATTCAATGACAAGTTGACCAAAATCTTCGAATTGGTAAATGCCGTAGAAATCCCAATGTTTCCCTGACCAGACCCAAACTGCCCTCAAAAATGCTAACTACCAGGAAACATGGTGCGATTTTGACCCAGGAATATGCTAAATTCAGGGAATGATTCGACCAAAATCAGCCCTCAAATATGCTAATTTTCGGGGAAACCTTCATAGGAGCTTCAGGGGGCCTCGCGGCGCGCTCTGTCGGTGAGGTCACGTGGTCAGCGCTACTCAGCCTCGCAGGAAACAGTGTCAGTCGTCGCACAAGTGAGGCTTCTTGGGACAGGGTGGGTGAATTCAGCTTATTGGGAGGCAAGGGTGCCTTGTTGGTATGAAAAATTGTGGTGCTCAAGCATGATTGGGCTTTGTAACTAGAATGAACAGTCAGTCCTTATCCAAGGTGCATGGCCCTGATTTATTCACAGCTAAGGTCGGTCTGTCGAGCGCACGTTCAATGTAGCATGTGGATTGGCGTCCATTTGGACAAAAAGGTCGTACCCAATGACTTCCTCCAGCAGGCGTGTGCCCCGGCACGGAGAACTCACTTTCGATGCTACTGATGATGGCACAGAAATATTGGTGTTATTCGAGAGCGACATATTCTGGCCCAATGAAACCGAGAGCGGGTATAGTACATGATGAGATCGAGAGCTAGTGATACAGTAAAGTGGTGAGTTGGTGAAACATGATGCATGATGAGAGGGATTTCTAAGTAACCACAGAAACGGTCAACGATACAGCAAAAAAGTCTGATCTTGAGAATACAATCCTTTCACTCCATCACACGCTCAACCCTTGATCTTGAAGGTAATATGGTCTTCTGCCGCTTACCCGCCGCACTCTGATCCAGGCCCGCCTTCTCTGAAGTCCGTTTTAACGCCATTGTTGTGGTTGACACATGAACGAGTCCCCGGCCTCTAGTCCTAGTTGGTTTCAAGCTGGCTAGCATGTCGAAGCTCCTATCACCAACTTTCCATCCTTCCTTATTCAGCTGTTCCTTGAATACCTCGATAAAGCGATCAGACGATTCTAGGATCTGAGCCGCCGCGACTGGATCGGGTTTGGGGTTCATGTCTTCAAGAACTTCCTCCCTAATATAGAGCGGACGAAACAATACTCGAAGCCTATCGATGAGATCGAAGTGTGCCTTGCTCAGGTAATTCTGGAGGTCTGCTTTGGAGAAATCGTCTGGGTACGAAGGGTGAGAGAACCATCTACGTTTTGCCTTTCCGCCTACGGTTTCGCCGTTGACTCTACGGTATGACTGATCGAAAAAATCTGCCACTAGTCCGGGAAGGTCCTCGATGTTGTTCCGCTGGTAACGGACGCTATGGTAGAGGAGAACATGGAGGAAAGATTCCAGGTCGTCTCGAAGTTCATGGACCTTCCTAGGGTTTTCAAGGATGGCGGTTGAAATGAACTGCCATGTACCCTGAAAATGTCCGACTTAGATATTGAGTGTGGTAACAAGTGAGACGAGAACCCACCGTTCGCCAATCTTGCCTAGGTGATTTCTCCTCGCTGACTCTCTTTGCAAGCTCCCAGTCAATCAAGAGGGCGTGACCATCATCCGTGATCAAGATGTTGCCTCCACTGATGTCTTGATGGAGAACATCGACCTTGAATGCCTCCATATGCGCTGAGACACCGCATCGAAAGTGAGCACATACTTGAATACGACCACAGGGATCAGCGCACCTATTATTGCCTCTAAAAGAACTTGACATAGTTCTCTGGTCGAATTGAACTCGGACAACGGGCGCCCCAGATCCTTCAATACCAGCCGGTAGTGTCTATGCTGCCTCACCTCTGGTTCTCCGCAGCACCAGTCCTCGTCAGTAAAATCATGTGTACGCGTTCGTTGTCCTTCCACATCACCGGCACAAGCAACACGGGGGATATGAGAGACACCGTTCGCCGCGAGCTTCCGATATGTGTCACCCTCTTTCTTCATCCTATCCGCTTCATATCGCCAGGTATCCTTTAGATAAACCAACTCCCCCGTCTCCAGATCTAGCGCCTCGTAGCCTTTCGTGCCCCTTCCGACCGGGCTCCCGCTCTGCCATTGGGGCACAGAAGCAACGAAGAATCGTACTCTAGCTTCACCCTCTTTTATCCCGGGGTCATCATCCACCACACAGAACTTGCGAAACGAGTCGTCTGTCGAATACCGTGTCTCAGGGAGACGTGAGGGTTCTCCCTTCGCCCTCGCCAATGCGTTTGCACGCTCGTCAAGTTTCTTCTTCGTCAACGTAATCTCTCGGGGCGCAGGCTTCGATATGGAGGTGTCATACCCCCGTTCTGCATCGGAGAGGTGGTTGAAAAGCCACAGGAACCTCGCGAGTGGCTTCGGGTCATCCCTCCAGTTAAAGCGCTTCGTCACAATAGCTCCTGCACGATCCCAACGTATGAATCGAACATGGTCATCGAGAAAGAGGATGGAAAAGGTGAAGCAGCGATGTTGGGAAGCGAATTGACATGCCGTGTAGGAGATGATTTGGCCTCGACTCTTCATCGAGGCCTTGGAATCATGCTCGAAACTGTGTTCCTGGCGAGATTTTCTCGACTTTGGATCCGAAAATGGGTCTTCGCTTGCAGTTTTGCGTTCGATGTGAAGCTCCATGCGCTCAAAGTCTGTAGTGGGCGGGCCATTGTATGGGCGTTTATAGACGGTGATGTCTGGTTTACGCCAAAATTGATCGTCTCTTTCCTTGGTTGTGTTGACTAGGACAAGATCGGGGCATATCTCGGCTCTGTTGACCGCATTGATCTACAGCATGGATATGTCTGTCAGGAGACATGTTCCGATGCGATAGAAGAAAACAATGCGCACAAAACTATTCTCGAATCCAAGTTTTTTGATGAGTTTGGCCCGAAATTTCCCTCTCCATTGTTTAGGAAGACTTGGCTCTGTGTACGGTCGACCTGGATTCATGAACGCCTTGAAGAAGTCCTCAACGGGCATAGGTCCAACAAATTCGTGCGCCATATCTTTGACGAGTCTATCGTATTCGGATTCGTGTTCTACAACAAACTTAGATGTGAAGCGTTCAGGAAACTTGAGCTTTAGGGGGGTGCCACTGGGGATTGGTAGGGATACCATATTTTGGTTAGGAAATTGAGACGAAGGGATGTCAGAGGGGTAAACTTACGAGCCTCAAAAACTTTATGTACTGCGTCCAAATGTGGCCTTTCCGTGTCGTTTCTTTTGTGTCAATTCTGCGCCACGATCCAAGCTGAAGTTGACGGTGGCTGATGGTGGCTTGGTGGTCGCAGGCCAAGCGTGTTCATGGTTCACAAACATTTCCAGCTCCGCGATTTGGATCTCATCACGTGTTCGCGTTAAGCTCGTGACCTGTTGGACATCAACCTAGACCTGCTCCTATTTCTTCCTCCTCCGAGAGTCAGAGGTCCTGAATGATCATAACACATGAAGAGCTTCTACATCTAATTAAGGATTTTGTGGCCGGTCCTTAAGGCTTGCACTAAAGGGTCCCAACTCCCTAGATGAGATTAGCCTCTGGTCTGGTCATTGACTCATAGACTAGTTCAAACCTGCATTGTGATTTATTTATGTCCAACTTGCAAGGGTCCTGAAGTATAATCCAATGTTGGGCGAAACCATGGAACGATAAGAGGTGATTGCAGCCTTGACGAGAGAGCGGGCCGGACACGCGACCGCTGTTTAAACTCCGATCGCACCTTGCCTCTCCGACTTGCCAGTTCTCCGACCATCCTCTCCTTTCCTCTCTCCACTCTTGTCACTCTGCCCCTCACATCGTTTATTCAACGTACATACACTCGCCCTATTGATAATCCCCGCAGACTCTCGAAAATATTACTCGAGGAAATAACACTAGCTGATTTATTATGGTGTTTTCTCTGTGAATATTCGGGCCTCTATGAGTAACGTATGTGGGAAGAGGACTTCGCTGCTAACGTGTCTTTTGAGAAATGGTGCAAGGAACTTCTGCTGCGTGTGGCGGCTGTAAATCGAAGCGACAATGTGAGTATCTCCTTTTTTTTCACCCATACACCATTAAGCCAGTCTGTTCAGAATGTGGCATGTAAGCGTGAATGTCCGTCCTGCAATACATTTTCATGGCTCTGACAATCCTTGACTTTCAGATTGTGTTTTCGAATGAATTTTCTTCCTGCAAAACCCTCCGAATTCTCTTCACATCACACGCCTCTCTGTGTCATAGCGCTGACTGAATCCTTCGCTTTGAGCCTCTTGTCATTGCGTATCGCTCTCTCCAAAACACACACATTTCTCTTTCGTTTCGTTTCAGAGTCTCGCTTTCTATGAAAAACACCTAGTCTGGTATGCCATGCTCAAGGCCAAGTATTCACTTGAATGCGCTTGTAAGTTTGTCATAGCAAAACAGCGGATTCACCAGAGTTTTATTATTTACACTTAATGGTGGTCACAAGGCCCAAGTGCGTCTTTCACATACGTCTTGGCATTGTCCTCAAATAATACGCCGTGCCAAGCGGGTCCGTACGCCTCGTGTGTGCTGATCGAGTGATATCTCAGAAAACTGGCTGAGGGCGAGGACAAGGGAATGAAATTCGATTGCCTTTTCCGTCCACACCATCCTTCTCCAAGTCACGCTGTTCTTATAGCGAAAGGTAACTTTTGTCGAAGGCCCCTGCCCGCTGTGCAGGATGTCGACGGGACACTCGTATAAAAAGGTACGCAAAGTGAAGCTTTATCCTCACCAATGCGCACCATGTCCTCCCCATCGCCCGCAGACTCCTTCCCACTCGGATTCCAAGTCGATTTCGACGCTCAGTACGCTGGTATCAAGACCTTCACCTATGACGTCAATCATCCTTTCACCTCTCCTGCCTCACCCGACCTCTCCCATACCCTTACAGGCCCTCAAGTCTCCTCGTCCCCAGAGCTATATTCCCGCGGCCTCAACCCCTCTTTCCCTTTCTCCTCTCCTGCCACTTCAGAGACTTCCACTTTTGTCACCTCACCCTCACCCTCCCCACCGCGCAAGACCACCAAGGCGATGTGCACGCCGAGGAAGGCTGCCCACAAAGCCTTGCCCCGTAACGACCTTGGCCGTGTCAAGCGCCCCCCGAACGCGCTCATACTCTTCCGCCGCTATGTCACCTCCAACAGGAAGACGATGCTCGAAAATATCGAGATGGACGACAGCAAACTCAGCGAGCTCATAGGGTCGATGTGGCGGAAGAAGACCATGAAGGAGCGCGAGCCGTGGTTCGCCGCCGCCGCCGCCGAGAAGCGCTTGCACGAGGTGAAACACCCCGAATACAAGTTCGCGCCCGCGGTGCGCAACCGCAAGAAGTGCAGGACGAGACGCAGAGGGGAGGCGGAGGAGGATAGGATCAAGGAGCTTGCGCGTATGATCAACGAGGATAGGCCGGAGGAGGAGATCCTCGCCACCGCGGGCCTGCATGCGCGCCACATTGCGAGCTTGTCGCAGCCCGGGAGAGACAAGCGGCGTGAAGGCAAGGAGCAGGTGGTGGAGGCGCCAGTGGCTGAGCAGCAGATCGAAGCGTCGACTTCGAACACGCTCGTATGGGCGCCGGAAAACGCAGAGTTGCCTGCTGTTGGCGTCGTGCCCGACGTCGAGCTTGCCACCTTCACCGAGCCCACGACGACTCCCGATCTTCTCGCTTCCATGTCATGGCCATATGATATATCCTTGGTATGTCCTACTTGTATTCGTCCTTTCTGTCCATTATTCTTATACAACCTTCTCATGGTCAGACTACCGCCAACTCAGCTTACCCTGAGTACCTTGAATACTCGACCGAGCTGGCATATCTGTATCCCCAAACCATGACGACCATGCAGCTTGATATGTCGTTCCTCGCCCAGTACGCAGACGAGCAGCAGACCTACGATCTGTTCACTCCGACGGCATCTTTCCCCGAGCTTGAGCTCGAAGATCCGGCCGTTCAGGTTTACTCGCCCCGATTTGACGTGCAAGAACACGTGTATGCCCCGTCCCAGCACTACGACTCGCAGGCGGTGGCGACGGCGAACGTCGTAGACTCTTGGACCCAGACGCTCGCCGAACTGCCTCAGCCTAACGGCAAATGGGATAACGGCGCTTGTTACTGATGCTCCCCCCACTTCCCCTCCATTCACCGACTTTCCTCTGTCCTCCCCTCGTCCACTGTATCCTCCATGCGTACCACACGGACATCAGTAGCTGCTGTGGCCCTATGACTTCCCCTTTGTTCTCGCCACCCATTTGGTTGTGCTTCGGTTTGTATTTCAGTATCGGTATTGGCGGCGTTTTGCTCGTTCGATTATATATTCGAGTCGATTAGCCACGGTTGAATAAAAAAATTTCACTACTGCAGGCGGCTGGTGCACACTAAGCGCGAGTGATTGGTGCGAAAGGCGCCGCGACACCGCAGTGACACCACCCACGATCACAAAGCGAGTACGGCTCTCATCACGACCCGCGCAATGCACAATACGCCAAATTTCAATCGGAAGGAATTCAAGCAAAACGACGTGGTATAAAGTCGCGAGTATATAAAACACGTCCGTCTACCTCGGTTCTCCTGCACGGCGCAGCACCCAAGTATGAACACGTTTTTTGTTGTGAGTGGTATCCCCTTCTGTCCGTCTGTCAGTCCGTCTCTCCATTTCTCTCTCTGTCCGTCCGCACGTACGTACGTGCGGAGTCCTTGCATCCCTCGAGGGTATAATGACCATGACCACGACCACGACCGCATCCGGCCCTGCTCCATCACATCACGCACCGCGGCCCGGCACAAACGTGCCGCTCAGATGAATATTACGCGACGAGCTCCCGACGAGTACCGTGAACGCGCCCGCGGGCACGACCCACTCCTGCTTCACCACGTCCCTACACACGTACACACACCAGTCATCATCCACAAACCACAAACCGCAAACGCAAAAAAAGCACGCACCACACGCTCACGTCCTTCCGCCGCAGCCCAACCTCCACCACGCCCGTCTCCCCAGCGTCCAGATACACGCGCTCGAACCCGCGCAGCACCTTCGGCGGCTGCGCCGCCGCGGGCGGGAACGTGAGGTACACCTGCGCGACCTCGTGCGCGCCCGTCGCGCCCGTGTTCGTCAGCGCGAAGCGCACCGTCCACAGCGCGTCGAACAGGCGCGCGGGCCCGCCCGGGTGCGTCTGCGCGGGCGAGGAGATCGCGGGCGGCGCGGAGCCCGTGGACGTAGCCGTCGACGACGCGGTGCTGTTGGACAGGATGGTGCTCGCGGTTGCGGTTGCGGTCGCGGTCGCGGTGCCGTTGGTATGGAAAGACGTGGCGTTGGAGGGCAGCGCGGACGCGGATGCGGTCACGGTCGTGTTCATCGCGATGGAAGACGTGATGGTGGCGTTTGCGGAGATCACGGCGGACGTGACGATGCTCGCCGTCACGGACGACGCCGGCACGGTCAGCACGACCGTCGTCGTCACCGCCGCCACGCTGGACGCCGCAGTGGTCCGCACGCTAACCGTCGACGCCGAAACCGAAACGGATCCCGATGCCGCTGCAGACGACGCAGACACGCCGTGTGTAGCAAACGTCGCGCTCGGAAGCGACGCCGTCACCGGAAGCGTTGCGCTCAACTCGTCGCGGCGGCCGCGGCGCCGCTGCGCAGGTTCGGCGGGGACGATGTTCAGCCCGTTATACGCGAATGTCGAGTAGCTGAGCCCAAACCCAAACTCGAAGCGCGGCGTGATGCCCGCCGCGTCGAAGTGCCTGCGCGCGCGCGCTCACGGTCAGCGGCGGAGGGACAGAACAAATCAAACAGTGCGGGCGGCACGCACCGGTAGTCGATATCGACGCCCTCCGCATACGTGATCTGCGGCGTCTCCATCTCGCTCTCATACAGCACGTCGGCAGGGTAGTCCCCGCGCGCCTTCGCGATCGTGTACGGCAACCGCCCGCTCGGGCTCACGGCCCCAAACAGCACGTCCACGAGCGCGTTGCCGCTCTCCTGTCCGGGGAGGCCCGCGAGCAGCACGGCGCTCACGTTCGGGTGCGCGATCCACGGCTCGAGCAGCACGGGCCCCACGGCGTGGAGCACGACGATCGTGTTGGCGCACGCGGTGGCGGTGGCGGCGACGAGCGCGTCGCCGGCGTGCCAGAGCGTGAGGTTGTTCCTGTCGCCGGCGTTCGTGTCCACCGTGATATAGCCCTCGCCCGAGTCGGCGTTGGCGAACGCGATGCAGGTGTCCGCCTGCGCGGCGACGGCGGTTATTTGGGCGTAATTGAAGTCGGAGAGGACGCCTTCGACGACGGCGGTTGGGTTTGTGCGGTGGACGAAGGACTGGATGGCGGAGAGCGGGTCGACGAGGTAGGGGAACTGCGGGGCGGCGGGTTAGGGCGGGAGGGAAGGGAAGGGTGGGACATGCGGGTGTGGGAGCGTACGTTGGCGGTGCCGGAGCCCCATCCCATGGCGAGGGTGCCCTGGTCACATCCACGGCTATTGCACCGCGCGTGCCGTCAGCCTTGCCCGCTCGCAGACACGATCCACGACTCACTCGCTGCACCCGTTCGGGCCATCCGGGTTCGGCCCCGCATCCGAGCCCACGATCGCGAGCCCTGCGCGACAAGATCAGTATAGGAGGCGTCCAGCCAGCAGCGAGTCGCGCGGACGCACGCTTGATGTTGGCGGCACTGAGGGGCAGCGCGCCGGCCGTGTTCTTGAGTAGGACGACGCTCGCGGCGCCGATCTCGCGTATGAGCTTGTAGTGGTCTCCCTGCACGCTGCGCACGTGACGCCCCGCCATCCACCATCGTCAGCCCTCTTCCCACCCTCGCAACCAAACCGGAACCAAGACCGAAACCAAAACCGGCGAGAGACCACTCACTTGACGTGCTCGTTGACCAGCTGGCCGTCGAGGTACGTGTCCTCGGTGTTGTAGTCGAAGTTGACCGCGGGGAAGTCCGGCGCGTCCTGGCCCATCTTGTAGTACGCGGCCATGGTGCGCACGACCATGTCCGTCACGCGCGCCTCGGGCACGGAGCCGTTGCGCACGGCCTCAATCAGCGCGGAGCCCCACCACCTGTCGCGTGCGCGCGCAGCCGTCAAACGTCCCACGTCAAGCGTCCCATATCATACGTCAACCACCCAACGTCCATCGCCAAGTGAAAGTTCAAACGCCAAACGTCAGAACGCGCACAGAGAGGACGAGGGAGGGAGGGAACACTCGCGAGTTAGTCGTGTTATCCGGGTTCGGCTCGCTCGGGGGGATGTTGTACGAGATGAAGCCGGGCATGTTCATGTCCGCGCCCGCGAGCGCGGGCTGCACGCCGTCGATCATCGCCGCCCAGTCAGACGTGACGAAGCCCTGGAAGTCGAGTTCCTCCTGCGAGCGTGCGTGCGAGCGCGGGCGCGAATGAGTGGATGCGGGTGGGTGTAAGCGTGTGCGCGCACGCACCTTCAACAGCCCATTGAGGATCTTCGAGTTCTGGCACGCCTGCGTCTGGTTCACCTTGTTGTACGAGCACATGACGGAGCCGACGCCCGCCGCGACGGCCTCTGCGAACGGCCACGCGTAGACCTTGCAGAGCGCAGCGGCGCGTCAGCGCGCGAGGAAGCGTCAGCGCGGGCGACGACGCACCTCGTGCATCGTCTTGTCGTCGATATTCGAGCTCTGCACCTGCGGCGCCTCCGACCCGCCCCTAAAATGCTCCTGCTCGTTCCCAATACTACCCACGCGCCCTCCATCAATGCCCACACTCCCACCCAGAATCACTCGCGCACTCACAAATGCTTCACGCACGCGATCACGCCCGCGTCCTGCACGCCGCGCACGGTCTCGGCGGACGCGACGCCGCTCAGGAACGGGTCCGCGCCGAACCCCTCCCAGTTGCGCCCGCCGGCTGCGACGCGGCCCATGTTGGTCATGGGGCCGAGGGCGACGTTGACGCCCTTGCCGCGATGCTCGGCGCCCATCGCGCGGCCGCGGCGGTAGATGAGCGAGCGGTCGAAGGTCGCGGCGACGTTGATGCCCGCCGGGCTGTGGGAGGAGGGGAAACGCCGCACACGCGCCGCGGTCAGCACGCGCGCGTCGAAGAGCAACGACCCAGGCGCGAGGGTACACTCACAACGCGCTCGCAAAGTCCGCGTCGCGCACGCCGAGCGGGGAATCCTGCAGACAGATCCCCTTGAACCCGATCCGCGTGACCTCGCCCGTATTGCCGACGCAGCGTCCGCCCGTCCCGACGCCGGTCGTGAGGTTGACCTTTTCCTCGAGCGAGAGCCCCCCCACGAAGGCGCGGGCGCGGGCGACGGCGGGGGCCCAGTCGGCGTCGCCGGCGACGGGCTTGGCGGGGACGACGATGGGGGACGTCCACTGCTCGAAGCCGGGCGGGGCGGCGTCTGGGATGCGGGTGATGACGTCTGCGGCGGCGCTGCTCGCGAGGGCGAGCAGGGCGAGGCGCAGCATTGTTAGCAGAATGCGGTGGGGGGTGTCAAGGAGTGTGTTGGTGCTCGAGGGAGGGAGAGCGGGGAGGAGGAGGAGGCGCGGCGTGTGGGTTAATATAAGTAACGTCGAGGAGACGAGGTGGTTCGCCCGAGGTGGTTCCGGGTCACGTGTCGAGGTCTCGGTCGATGGGCGGCGGACACATGACCGCGTCGTCCCGGGGCCCCGCACCCGTCGGGCATACCGCGGCCGCAGACGTCGCGCGTCGCCCCCGCCATCTCCTTTCAGACGTCCCGCGACGCGCGCAGGTCAGTCGAGCCTGCAGCGCGATCTTCTCCAACGCCCGTCAGACAACCCAGAAGTTAAACCCCCGTCGCTCGAAGGCCTGTACGACACGGCATCCGCATTTCCAAGTACACACACATCTCGTAACGCACACCCCACCTCCCTCCCCTACTTCGCGTCTTCGCGTCTCCGCGTCTCCGCGCGCTTCCCGCAATTCTCTCGTACACAATAGACGCCGCTTTCGCCAGTGCCGGACGGAACCTCTGCCGCGACCCAGACACCCTCGCACGCCTTCCGAATCCCGAATCCGAATCACAGCACCCCGTCGCTGCGAATCGCGCACTGCCCGAGATCGCGCCGCGTCAGGCCCTCGTCCCGCGGCAGAATGTCCTGCCCCAGCGCCAGCGAGCACCCGATACCAGCGCCGATAGCATGCCGTCAGAAGCACGCCGTCAGACAAGACACGATCAGACGAGGAGCGAAGAACGGCGCGCACGAAGTCGAATATCCCCACCGGGAGCGCGAGCGTCACGCACGCGTTGGGCGAGTCCTGGGCGACGCGGGCGCGGGGTGGTCAGCGGGTGGACGCGTGGGCAGGTGGAGGAGAGGCGCGGGGACGCACCACGATCGCGCCGACGTGGCTCTCGACGGGCGCGGCGGAGAGCAGGATGTCTGCGCGGTGCGGTGCGGTGCGGTGCGGTGCGAGCGAGGGCCGTTCGAGATCAGGTTAGGCTTCGAGCTGAGGAGAGGAGAGGACGGCGCGTACAGGCTTGTTCGCGGGCTGCACGGTGCGCGGCGGCGGCGGCGGTGGTGGGCGCTCGTCAGCGCTCGTAATGGCGGACCACGCGGAATTAACTTACTGAAGCCGAGCTGTCCCACGGCGACGCGGAACACGGGACACGGAACGACGCGACGGATACGGGACACGGAATACGCACCGACACGGAATACGCGCCAACAGCGGAACACGAACCAAGCACACAACGCGCACCAACAACGAAACACGCACCAACAACGGAACACAGAACATGGAACACGACCCACGACCCACGACCCACGAAGAAGCGCACGTCAGCAACCGCCCGGCCCCTCGCACGAACAATCTAGGAGCGGGCGCGCACCTTCTGCAGATACGCGATCGCGTTCAGCGCCGCCTGCTTGTACGCCACCGTCCTGCGCCCCCGGACCATCTAGCGCGTCAGTTCACGGGATCCACAGCGCACAGCGCGCGGGATGGGTAGCTACTCACGCGTCCATGTTGTACTGCGTCCCGTCTCCGTCTGCGGGCCCCAGTCGCGCGCACGCACACACACGCATGAATAGAAAGAGAGAGTCGCTCAGAAACGACAGGAGCAGCCATGCAGGGCAGGGTGGGGGCGCGCTCACGGTAGTCCACGCTGATGCCCTCGAACACGAGCTTCGACGAGTACAGCGGGTCGATCGGGGACGGCTGCGCGCGCGAGCGGGCGAATGAGCGCTAGCGCGAGCGTGGCGGACGGCGAGGATGAGCATGGATGGTAGACAAGGACGCACCAGGAAGATCGGCTGCTTCAGCGCGAACTTGTCCACGCCGCCCTTGATGACGCTCGTGCTGAACGTGATGATCCCCGCCTAGCGAGACGCGTCGAGTCGAGTCGAGCAGACATGAACGGGACGGAATGGAATGCACTCGGCGTCAGAAAGGAATGCGAGCGCCCGTGCGCGAGGCGCCACGCACCATCTCGATCGCGCCGCAGAACGACATCTCGCCCTGTCACGTACGGTACGTCAGGGATCCATCCCCGCATAAAGTCAGCATGCATCAGCATCAGCGACGCGCGCGGCGATCAGAATCAGAACCAGGGCATCCAGCAACGAACGAACGAACGGGCAAAACAAGCCGAAACGATGAGAAGAAGCGAGTGAAAAGGTGGGGACGAAAAAGGAGAAAAGAAGAGGGAGAAAGCGCGCACATCGCCCTGGGAGAAGTGCAGGTCCCCGACGGACAGGTTGGCGCCCGGCACGAACACGGGGAAGTAGCACCTCGACCCGCGCGACAGGTTCTTGATCTGCCGATCCCCCGCGTCAGCGCCGCTCCGCATAACAAACCGCACCCGCACTCACGTCGCAGTTCCCGCCGTGCTCGCGCCCCGGCACCGTGCGCGCCCCCTCCCGCGCGACGCGCGCGCGCGTGTCCTCGGACAGGTCCTGGCCGACGTACGCGCCGCGCGGCTCGGGCGGGAACGCGACGGGCGGGACCGCGCCCGCGTGCGCGGCGAGCAGCGCGCCCTCGCGCGCGTTCCACGTCGCGAGCAGCTCTGCGGACGGCGCGGTGCCGATCAGCCCCGGGTGCGCGGTGCCCGCGAAGCGCACGCCCGGGACGTGCCGCGAGGTCGCGTAGATGCCCTTGAAGTCCCAGATGGCCTTGCAGGCGCGGCTCTGGAACTCGCGGGCTTGAGGGCGGGTGAGTGGGGCGGGCCGATGAGGAGGAGGGGAGCGACACACCGAAGAGGCCGCCGCCGTTCTCGAGCTCGAAGATGCCCTGTGTGGAGGTGCGGCGTGAGTGCCTTTGTGTCAGCGGCGGCGAGCTCTAGGCGCGCGTACGGTGTACCCCCACGGCATCTGCTCGAACGGCGTGACTGTGCATCCAGCCCGGTGAGCGAGGAGAATCGAGAGGGCCCGTGTGCGTGCGTACCATCTAGGATGTCGACGACGAGGCAGTCGCCGGGTTCCGCGCCCTCGACGGCGATCGGGCCCGAGAGGTTGTGGATCTTCGTCAGGTCGACGTTCTTGATGTCGTCGCTGTCTATGGGCCACACCAAGTACAACAAAAAAAGTCAGAGGTGGGCGGGGATCTGCGACGCGGGCGACACGGACTGTCGTTGTTGCCGATCTGGGCGCCGGTCCAGTCTGTGTATTGATGGTCAGCGGGCGTGCATATCCGCGAGACACTGGTGCGTACCGACGCATTCGATCTTGAATACCTACGTAGAGCCGGGTAGTGTCGAGTAGAGCGCGGCGTGGAAGTGGACGGACTCACCTCTCCCGGCTTCACGATCGCGACCGCGGGGATGTCGGGGCTAGAACGCAATTACCTGCGTGCGCATCTGTGTAGCGAGAACGGGAATTAAGACTCACTGCCAGCGGTTATGGAGGCCCTACGAGCGGGCGGGGTGAAAAGGAGAGCAGACGGTAGCAAAAGAGCACGTATACGGACCTTCTGCTGGTCTGCTGGGCTGGGGTGTCGGGCATGGGAGGTGAGGACGCAGTTTCGCAGAAGTAATATAAGGCCACTACGCACACGAAGGGATCGACCTGGCCCGAGCCGATAGCGTGATGATCGTGTTCTGCTCGAGCGCTCTCGGGGACGTACCTTGACCAGAGTGGGATGAGGGACGGAGTTGGCTCGCGTCGACATGATGCGTGGTTGCTGTTGCTGACCGGGGTGTGCTTGTGCTTACGGTGAGGGGATGCAGCTGAGCGCTGGAGCACAATAGAGCGCAAGGTGAGGGTTCTTATGTGAGCCTGAGCTCTTATCTCTGAGTCTGCGCCCGCCGTTTAATTGTCTGGCAGTGGGTCATGATGCATGAATGTATCACTGGGGGCTCTGATAAGGACCCTGAGCGAGCCACGGCTGTGAGAACGATATCTTGCCGCGGTGAGACTCCGCACGGCGCAAAACGCGAACTAAGAGGAGCCTGGAAGAGGGCGGCACGAGACGTGCGGCGTGCGGGTCTGAGCAGTGTCCGAGCAGGGCAGAGCACAGCCTACCGTGACCGAGCCGTACACTCATTAGATCATGAATTCTCCTCCAATCTCCGGCGGCGCTGGTGTGTCTGTTTTCGAAAGAGCAATGGGCAGTGAGCAGCGCGGTAGGGTCGATGAGAACAGAGGCTGACAATTTGACTTGGCGAGTCTGCAACTTGATTCCCACGACGCGGTACACCTATTACTGCACTGTCGCTTTGCCTCATCTTCCTCTGTACTCGTACTGTCTTTTCATCGAGAGACAAGAAAGCCTCATGTCATCTGAATATCAATCGATTTTGGACGCAGAGTGCACTGTTCGTTTGGGTAAAGATGCCGAGGATTTGGGCGGACTCAAGTGAGTCGTGACGTCGTCCTACTGCGATTTGGGACGTGTTTCCCCAATGCTGATTGTCTTTTTGTCGCTCAGTGTATATGACAAGCATTGAGCAGTACAATATGCCTCTCAACGATCTCTCCCGTTCCGTGAAGTGCGCTGTAACACTGCTGTAACCCTCGTCCTCGCCTTTCACACAATCACCTCGGTCCTCGGCAACAGTGATGCTAGATTCAAAGTATAAAGACTTCCGAGGGATAGACACATCTGCGACATATGAGGGTCGAACAAAGCCCATCGGAGGAGTAGCTGGTTCCATGTCGAGAAACACGATACCGGCAGTTTCAATACAACTGACGGCGTCCACCAAGCTCACACTCTTCAACCCGCTCGTGTAAGCACCATTGCTTGTGTATGCGCATCGACTGCATCCCGATAGCCTCGTCCTTCGTGATGCACAAAGTAGAGGCTGCCCTCAATCTACGTGCAAATACCAGAGCCCACTAGTATCCAACTAGGATTGGCCATCATTCTTTCACGCGCGGAGCATCCTGCAATCTGTCAATCTCTGGGGTACTCATCAAGCACAGCCATACTTTGCTGCTATTGCCATTGACACCATCCAAATTGTCGCGGTCTTCGATGCATGCTCAGCGCCCTTGTATCGCGGATCTCCTTACTGGGTGGAGCGGGATCACTGTGAGGCAGCCAATGCTCTGCCTTGTCTCATCCGTCTGTCTGCTAAATTGGTCTTTAGAGACCTACATCAGGATAAGTAACCGTTGGCCTGTTTGCACTTCAGCGACGGGATGATGGGGCTTCTGCCGTGTCTCACTTAGGTGCTCCAGCCACAACTCAAGAAGCGCCAGAGCTGTCAATATGAGAATGTCAAGTGCTCATCATGCCACAATGTTAGTCTGTCCGACACTCATTTATACACTGCTGCAGGATGTCGACCTATTGACTCCCCTTTTCATAACGCATAACCAGTCATGTCTTCCGATGATGTGCAACATGCATTGTCCGCATATGCACAATATCTATACACAATACTCAAGCCCTTCATTATCGCCCTTGCTTGTGAGACTGGCTTTTACAGTGTGTGAGCTTATCATCGCATATTTCTTTTGAGTCTATTCGGTCCATAGTGCTTTCTATACTATCGTTTGCAGTTTCGAGCTACATCCTTGCGTGAGTCACTCATTTGAAGAAGACATATACCATTCATTTGACGTCTTCAAAGCCATAAAGGCTTCAAAACAAGGGCAATCTTCATCATGTGGATAACAACGTTCATCATGTTCGCGGTCTCGACTTGCCATTTCATTCTGCAGTGGGGAAGGCTCATGCGCACTATCGTGAATGACTTCAAAGATTCCTCCGACAATGGCATTACAGTAGAAGTGTCACCAATTGTGAATCTGTACATACCTGCAATCAATGTACGTCATCTGAAGTATGGTTCCATCATGCTGATACTCATGAATTGTTTTGCAGTATTTCTTGAGCGATGGAATTGTACTCTGGAGAGTATGGATCGTGTGGGGACGCAGCGTGAAAGTCTTGATTTTCTCTGTGCTATTTTCTCTGGGATCTGCCGGTAAGTGGCCCATCTCATTTCGCCTCCTTTCACGCATGACCTTCATATCAGTGGGGGCCATTGTATACATCTCCTTTCACGCGTTTACTGTTGACTTCACTGCCATCTATGCCTCGACACTGGTTACCAATATCATCGCTACCACACTCATGGCGGTGAAGGCGTGGTCAGTGTGTAGTTAAAACCAAGTGTCATTGTTCGAACTAACCCAGTCACAGGCAACACCGCCGGCTGATCCGATCTCACCTGAACAATACGGAATATAGATCTCAAGCCGGATCTGTTCTCGCTCTCCTCGTCGAATCCGGGACTCTTTACTGTGTGATATGGGTGAGCGATGTCGTACTCAATGACGCCGTGTGGGCCTCTCACATGACACATCGTGATGCGACAGATCACCATCTTCGTGAGCTGGTGTTTGGTGCACAGCGAATATTTCAATCCTTTGACCCCGCCTATTAATGCGATCCTTCCGGGCATCACGGTTCAAGTATCTGTGCGTTACACATCTCTCCTACAATGACAAAATACTGAATCCAATCTGCGCAGGGGATCTATCCAACCGCGGTCATCACTCTGGCAGCGCTCCACAGGACCACTTGGGATATGAGCGTTGGGAAAGATATGTCACAGAACGCACCCCAGGCCGAGATGCGCTTCGTGACAAGAACTGTTCGTTCTGGCACATCGACAACTCAGACCGGTCATCATCACCCGACACCGTCTATTGACGAGGGACCTCATGCCGATGCGTCCGAGATTGCAGCGAGAGATGGAGAAGTATAGTCTTGTTGGATAATGCAACCACAAAGGTGAATATATATATTCGATTCCCGGTCGACAACAGCTGCTCTTTCTCCAGAAGTGCACCAAGGAGCTGTGAGTAACTTCAGTCCGCTTTTCATTATCTTTCAAACCGCGCAGGTATGATTCTATTTAGTAATGTTGTTACATGCAACAGCACATATGCTATCACTTGTGACGACGAGACAACCGGAAAACCCATTAACAAAGTTAGATGTGGGGCAGGTTCTGGCGGACTGGTGTGCAGGAGAACAGGCGAACTAGGAAGGCGTTAGTGCGACGAGACGGGCGCATCCAGGGTGACACTGCATGCGTCTCTGACTGGGTGTCAAAAAGATCTCAATGTATGTACCCTGGCACCTCTTTTTTGATGTCTGTGTACGTGTCACAGCTAATATAGTCCGCAGCGAAGCATTGAAGAAAGCATATGGGGAAATCAACGTTGAGAGACGCGATGCTATCCTCGATCTGTGTGCACCAACTGTTCAACTCCCATCAGCCATCTTCCCACGCGCGGAGCATCCTGCAATCTGTCAATCTAGATAGTCCCCATCACCGCTGTCGCCATATCGGCCATTGAACAAAACACAGGCTGTCACAGACTTTAGGTGCATCACAAAACAGTGTCCTTGTATCATATTATGTTCCCTTTCTGAGTGGAAGGGACCACTTGGCGCGGCAGCATACAGATGAGGTCTTTGCGGAACTGAGCAAGTCTATACTAGCATCAGGACGCATGGTGCGGCATTTTTGGTGTCTTATTTAGGTACTTCAGTTGCTTCGCAAGCGAGCGCTAGAGCTCCAACTTATGGATGTCAAGTGCTCATGACGACACGATGTCAGTTCCTCAAACGTCATTTATAAATTGCTGCAGAACCCTCCTATATGCCAACAGCTCTCCTCCGTGACTAGTCATGTCTTTCGATGATGCATCCTTTGTACAATTTGACTACGCATGTATTAGGTCCTTTACCATCTCTCTTGCTTGTGAGACTGGCTTTTGTGGTGTGTGCCTTCATCGTCGCGTGTTGCCTATGATTTCAACTTGGCCCACAGTGTTTTCCATACTATCGTTTGCGACTTCACCCTACGTTCTCACATGAGTCGCTCCTTTTAAGAGGGAGCATAACGATCATCTGACACCCTCACAGTCATAAAGGTTTCAAAACACGGGCCATCCTTACTCTTTGGATAACAACGTTCATTATGTTCGCGGCATTGACCTGTCATTTGGTTCTGCAGTGGGTAGGTGACATAGACCTGATCCTGGATCAGCTCTGGGTTCTTGTCCTTCATCAATCCACAGGATCCAATGAACCCACAGCCCCTGACAATGACCCTGCAGAATTCGTCGCAAGCATGGGGAGTTTTTACCTACCTATGATCAATGTTAGTCTCTCAGTCTCATTGTTCTAGAAGCTCGTTAATCATTTTGCAGTTCGCCATGAGCGATAGAATTGCGCTCTAGAGGGTATAGATCATGTAGGGACGCAGTGTGACAGCCTTGATATTTCCTGTGCTAGTATCTCTGATATCCATTGGTAAGTGGCCTGTTTCATTTCGCCAACTTTCAAGCATGACCTTCATGTCAGTGGGTGGTAGTATATCCACCCCCTTCGGCGGGGATTTTATTGCCTTCTATGCCATCTATGTCTTGACACTGGCTACCAATATCATCGCTATCACACTCATGGCGGTGAAGGCGTGGCCAGCGTGTACATCGAATGCAGTCCCATCACTTGAACTAACCTCATCATAGGCAACACCGTCGGCTGCTCAGATCTCACCTCAACACCACGGAGTATAGATCTCCGGCCTTATCTATTCTCGCTCTCCTTGTCGAATCCAGGACTCTTTACTGTGTGATATGGGTGAGCGTTGATAAATCCATTAGCGGCGTGTGCATATCTCACATCACGCATGGTGCACCAGATAATCTTCCTTGCGTGCTATGTTTTGTCTAATAGATCGAGCGGCAACGCTGTCATTGCTATTGGTGAAACCCTTTTTGCAATCACAGTACAAGTATCTGTGCGTTGCGTTTCTCTCCCTCATTGACAAACAACTCAACCCTTTGGAGCAGGTTATCTATCCAACCGCGGTGATCGCCTTGGCAGCACTCCAGGAGACCACTTGGGACATGAGCGTTGGGAAGGACATGTCTCAGAACGCGTCTCACACCGAGATGCGCCTTGTGGCAAGAGCTACTTGTTCCGGCACATCGACAACTCAGACCGGTGCCCATCGCCCGACACCGTCTGTTGATCAAAGATCCCATCCCCATGCATCTGAGTTGGGGGCGATAGATGGAGAACTGTAGTCTTATTGGATAATGTAACCACGAAGGTGAATATATATATTCAATTCTCGGTCGACAACAGCTACTCTTTCTCCAGAAGCGCACCAAGGGTCTGTGGGTATCTTCAGTTCGCTTTTCATAATCTTTCAAACCGAGCACAACCGTTCAAGAGCGTGAGGCTTCGCGGGTTTACAATCTGGGAGCTGTTACAGTGAACAATGCTACTTTGGATCGAGTCCGGATATATGAATCGGTCAGCGGTCCGTTATAGTCCGTTATCGACCATCTGATGCCACGCTTTCGCCATGGATCGGATGTGCACACGGTGGCATCGGCAAGCATTTTCAACGGCAACCGTCTTGAAACAGCATAGTTATCTGAGGCTCGCTTGATTGCTCCACCATCGCTTTGTCCTCTGTGGATACAACAATTTATTGATCTTGTCTCGATCGATCGATATTAGCCGCATTGCTTTCTCAGTTGGCCCTGCCCACAACGATCTGGCAGGGAAGAGGATGGCACGCCTACGGTGGCAAGGTCCCCATCATGCTCTGCCTAGCCGAAATGCATGGTGAAAGGTCGAGATTTTGGTACTCGACTATTCATAATTGATTAGGTCCGTGAACGACCGAGACAAGTTGATTGATTAAGAGTGGAGGCTAATAGTGGGAGGCTGCAACATGCGGGAAAGTCATTGTCCGATAAGCGCTGTGCACATGGCCGCGGAGTCTCAATATGGAATGTGGCAAACGGAACACGCTCATGCCTTGACGATTTCAACAACGGCGGCACAGAGGCGGTTCAGGTATTTAGGGCAAACTTCCTGCCTGGTAAGCTCCCTGCTCGCTCCATCCTGCTTTTCACCACTCATCCCTTGAAATGTCTCAACTTCCTCAGCTAAAGAGCTCACCGGTCAATAACAAGAAGTCAACGACAGAGCGATTCTCAACTTCAACGCGGACTATCCCAGCCAACGAAGACTACATACAGCTTATCAAAGAGATGAGGAGTCAATTTGTGGGCCCTATGCCCCCAAACACGTTTCTCAGAACTTTTATGCCCAAGTCCGAAGGGAATAGGCTACCTAAGGGATACCACGCCTTGTTCGCCGACCTCAAGATCGAGAAGAGGTTTGAGAAGAACTTTGTACGTGCTCCATCAATTTTGAACTTCATCCTCCATTTGACCTATCGAAGTATGCTACAGATACAGGCCGTCCGAGAGTCAGGGCTTTGCCCCGGTTTGCTCTTCGTCGACACAAACGACCAGATAGATGGGAACTTCCACCGAAAGCCAGACATCTGTGTCTACAAGTCGGACCATGAATGGGCGAAGACCAACTTCCCGCTGATGGAGTTTCATATTGAGCGCAAGCCCGACTCATACGATCCGTTTCACGATCCACCGCAGGACATGAAGAGATCGCTTCGCGAAAAATACCCTTTCGAACACAATACTATCAACGGCAATCATTCTCGTGAACAAATTTCCTCATATACAGCTTCACAATTCAGTGTCCAATCTCGAGCATTCACATTTTCTCTTCTCTTCGTCGGCAATTTTGTTCGATTCATTCGTTGGGACCGAGCGGGAGCCGTGGTTACCAGCCGTATAGATTGGAGGGAAAAACCTTGGTACCTAGCGTCGTTCTTGTGGAGGTTCGCTCATTCCTCTGATAACGACCGAGGATATGATACTTCGGTGTCAATTCCGACCCAAGACGAGATTCTGCGCACGAAAGCCGCCCTCAGGCAGCGAGCGATAAATGTTGCTGTGGCACAGGGCGGAAGTGAAAAGGATATATTGACGTCCATTTACTCGTCAGACGACACGTTTCGAAAATTCCGTGTGGTCGATGATGGTCCGGACAGGCAAGAGCACTTTTTCGTCGCATCTGTTCCACAGTGGTATACGAGCAGTCCCACAGGAAGAGGAACGAAAGGGTACGAGGCACTGGATGTTGCTACGGGGAAAATGGTTTATCTGAAGGATACTTGGCGCTATGTCGCGCTGGGATTCGAAAAGGAGGGAGACACTTACCGATTGCTCGAAGAGAAGAAAGTGCAAAGGATTCCTCACCGAGTTTGCTCTGGTGATATCGAGGGGCAGGAGACACGCACTCACGAGTTTATCAAGCAAAAATGGTGCTGTCGTGTAGCTATACAGCGCCACCATCACTATCGGCTAGTCCTCGGAGATTTGGGACGCCCGTTGAGTCAGTATACCTCTACAAAGGAGCTTTCCCAAGTGATGCTGGACACGATTGAAGGTGAGATACATTCTGCTGTACGTGTTCGTCTATTCACTTCATTTGGGGCATGATTAAGCCCATCAGCAAGCATTCAATGCCGGGGTGCTGCATCAGGATATCAGCGGTGGCAACATCCTGATAACAGACGATGGCCGTGGCCTCCTCATTGACTGGGATCTGTCTCGAAGAACGGAGCTGGCTGTGCCCGCAGCCAGGTTGAAATCGAGGACGGTAAGTCTCTGATACAATCTAAGTTGAGTGCTCGCGCATTCGTGTTAATTGGCATCTTCAGGGCACATGGCAATTCATGGCATGTGCTCGTCTTCTTAATCCTGGAAACGAGACGCATGAATTTTGGCATGACCTCGAGTCATTCTTTCATGTTTACTTATACCACGCAATCCTCTATCAGGCCAGCAGGATTCCTCAAGCTCCAGGTTTATCTGAACGAATTTTCCAACAATTGGAGGAACATTTCGACTCTTCAAGGAGTCGTATTGATGGTTCAGATGAGGGGGGTCAAAGTAAAGCAGATCTGTTCCAGCTATCTACTAGGCGCTTTAAAGAAGGTGACCTTTCGAAGTTCCTCAACAAGACGCTACGCGGTACTATCTTCGATCTTCGGAACCTGTTCCTCCCTCTCTATGTCGAACGTGACGCTCAGACGGAAATGTTTCTGGGATTGATATCTTCCGTCGAAGTGGCGCAGGATCGTCTCAAATCGTCGAAACCATTGACTGATATATTCAAATCGGGGCTCGAGAACGAAAGCTGGACTAATGACGGAAGTGATGGTCTTTTCGGGAAACCGCCGGTCAATAGGAAGATCATACGGTCCGCCAAACGAAAAGGCAAGGATTCCGAATTGGACAACAAGCCCAAGCAGAAGAAATCCCGGGTATCTCAGAATGTGTCCGAGATTGTCGTATCTTCTCTTGTCCTTGGATCCTCGAGCATCGACGAAGAATCAGATATTTTTGATTCATGATTTTCCCTACGGCGAAATGCTATTTCCTTCACATTCGACTCTACCCGTTTGTATTCTGTGTCTCGTATCTCGCTCGCAATATGCTATATCATGTATGACTCTTGATATGCAATGTTTACTCGTGCAATGAACGGCAGACTTCCAACACAAAAAATCAATCGCCGGAGCGATACAATTCAGGAAGATGGCGGGGTAGCGCAGGAGCTGTGCCATGTGATGTGGGTGAATAGATAACTCCTGCGACGAATCAGCCCTAACAAGATTTGCAGTGACAAGTTCAAATGAGATTCCTCCAGATTTCATCAACACTGGCTTCCACCGTCTAGAGCGTAACGCTGTAACGCCAAAAATAAAATAGGAGGGTGACGAACGCTCAGAGGCAACCGCGGTGATCACCTTGACAGCGCTCCAGAGGACCACTTGGGGCATGAGAATTGGGAAGGATATGTCTCAGATTGTGCCTCTCACTGAGATGCGCTTCATGGCAAGTGATACTTGTTCCGGCACCCCGTCTGTTGATCAGGGATCCCATCCCTATGCTCCCGAGATGGAGGCGAGAGATGGAGAAGTGTAGTATTATTGGCCAATATGGTCATGAGTGTGAACATATACTCTCGCGCGACAGAAAGACTTGCCTCATGTCTTCAGGACCCTGGCGCACATCGTTTATCGTGGAGCGCGCCAATGCGCTGCAAGCATATTCAGATCGCTTCTCATGGTCGTCTAGACGGCATACGACAGCTAACTGCGTCAGCCATAGCGACCTGTATGCAATCAATAAACCTTGAAAAGGAGCTGATGTGGTCCGCAGCGTGTTTCTACATACCTACTATCGAGCCCCGGAACGTCTCCACTCAATCTGCCGTGAAAGGTTGCGGCGCACGCAGAGATTTTTGAAAGTAGGTACTCCAGCCCTCTAGACTTGGCCCTCCAGCTGCCTTCGCGGGATGTGGTGCCGCTTGCATCAGGAAATCGGCCGATGTCTGATCCAGGTCTGAGAGCTTCTGATTGTTCTGAACTCAGATGGCTCAGACCAATCAGAGGTCAGAACAAGACTCTGCCGTCAGGAGGTTACCTTTCTGCATCTGTCTTAGTTCAGACCAGTCAGAGCTCATCCAGAACAATAGTCAGAGATTTGGTCATTAGCTCAGACCCCGTCTGCAGCCTCACACAGGTATTTCATACAGCATTATTACCATCAAAATATTATCATTCTACTGTATGCAAAATACTACGAACAAAGGACAGCCCTGCATCTAAAATGAACACACCGGATTGTGAGTGGCACATAGTCCTCCATCTTGGACTCTGTTTGAGGCTCGACAGTCTGCGCATGGCAACAAGAGGGTCAATGAAAGGGTATGGGTGCAGGCAGGGGGGGAAGCAGCAGCAAGAGAACATGAGCCTGCACTCATCTTGTGCAAGCGTGGGTGGCTAGCATTGGCAGCGGCAGCGAGAGAGCACGAGCGCAGGCAAGGTGGGCAGCGGCAGCAAGAGGATATGAGTGCGGGTAAGGTGGGTGGCGACAGCAAGAGAATACGAGCATGCACTCGTCCTGTGCAAGCGCGGGCAGTGAGGATCGGCAGCGGCAGCAAGAGAGCATCAGCGCAGGCAAGGTGGGCAGCGGCAGCAAGAGGATACAGGCCCACACTTGTGGGCACAGGTGGGTGGCAGTATTAAAAGAAGACAAGCCCACACTCATCTTGTGCAAGTGCGGGTGGGATCAGCATCAGCAGCGAGAGGGTACAAGTGCGGACAGGGTGGGTGGCAGCAGTGAGAGGATACAAGCACAGGCAAGGTGGGCGGCAGCATTGAAAGAGGCCACACCTGCACTCGTCTTGGCGAGCACAGGTGGAGATCAGCAGCGGCAGCGAGAGGATATGAGTGCAGGAAGGGGTGGGTGGTGGCAGCGAGAGGATACAAGCTCACACTTGTCTTGTGTGAGCGTGGGTGCAGGGCATCGAGAGCTCTCATCTTGTGCGAGCGCGAGCGGGGGATCGGCAGCAGTAGCGAGAGGGTATGGGCATGGTCGCAGGTGGGTGGCGGCATCGAGAGAAGATGAGACAAAATGAGTGTGGGCTGGAGGAGTGGGCGGTGGTGAGAGTGAGAGGCAGAGCACAGCGTGCACAACAACGGCGCATTGACGTGGCAATGGCACATGCCACTGCCACATCTTTGATGCCCTGCTTGCTCTCCTTGCTGCTGTCCACCACCGCCTCTGCTCGCGCTTGTCTTATCTCGCTGCTGATGCTGTCCAGTGCCACCCCCTTTGCCTGCACTTGTCTTGTACGACGAGCATGTGCATGCCTCCTCTTGTCTTGCCACCGCCACCATCCAACACTGCCCCTGTCTGTACTCATTCAAGATGAGTGCATGCCTGTCCTTCTCCCACCATCTCCGCCTGCGCTCATCTTGTATGACGAGTGTGGGCACACCTCATCTTGTCTTGCTGTCATCACTACCTAACATCTCTGCCTGTTCTCGTGCAAGACAAGCATGGCCTTGCCTTGTTTGGTCTTGCCGCCACCACCCACCACCACTACCTCTGCCCATGCTCGTCCTGTTAGACAAGCACATGCCTCCTCTTATATGATGAGTGCACACCTCCTTTTGTATGACAAGCACATGCCTCTTCTTGTCTCGCTGCCGCTGCCGCCTACATCTGGAAAACCACCACTTTGTATTAAGCTCTAATTAGTTCTATTTATGCATAATTAAGAACGATTAGGATTAGACATTTTTAGCTTACCCTCCCTCTAAACCTGTTCTAATTAGACATAATTTTCTTAAATTAAAAATTATTAGGATTGATTATAACTTAAAATTTCGGAAAAATAATAATAAATCAAGCATCATAGTTCTCATAGCCTTCTTATAGAGTCATGTCTATTAGAGCACTAGTTCAATACCTAAACACAGAATATACCTTATAACAAACTTGCCTTCTGTCAGAGTTAAACCAACAATCTCATGTATACAAGCACCCAGGACAGATGCTCTAAACCACTAAGCCACAAGGTCTAAGATATGAACTTGGTAATCTAAATAAGTAAACATAATATAGGCAACCTCAATATCTCTGATTTTATTTAACATTTATCTTTCCTCTATCTTATAAATAAATAGGCCAATAAATACCTAAAAAGTCAGGTCTTTCAGGATTTAGTTTAAGCACTAGCTAAGAAGATAATAAACCAATGGAAAATTGATAATACACTATATATAGGATAAAAATAAATTATGGCACTTATACAATTTGGACTGAGAATGTGTAAAACTATGATTGAGTGTAATATTCAATGGGACTCTACTAGTATAGACAATGCTACTTGAATTTGCAAATTTGATCAAAAACATGATTATGAATAATCAAGATCCAATAAGAGAGAGGGGTTTTCTAAATAGCCACTGGTGAGGTAGAGGGTGGGGACAAGAGTATATGTATGGCATGCCTATATATAAATAAGCACAAGATTGTTGGAGGTGATCTTGATATGCTTAATGCATATATTTCTTATATGGCAGGCAAATATATCATTCTGGCATCACATACCAATATGACTGTCTTTTCCACAGCCTAGTAGCTAGAGGAAAACACCAAGTTTGAGCATCTTCTGTATAACAAGGCAATAAAAAATATAAATAGTGCTAAAAACTGTAATATCAATAGTGATGATAATTGTGTGCTGCACAAGACAGTATTAGCCACTATACTAATAGACAAGATCCACAAGGCTGCATATAGCATATCCCTAAGTCCAACCCACATATTGTGTCCTATAATGACCAGTATCAGGCATTGGCTAACAATGACAACTTTGATGATCTTGTGTACAAGGCCAAGGTACTGAGGTCTTCATAGCCTCTTGTGGCAGGTGCCAAGCTACCAACAAAGTGGCTGGGGGCATCAATGCACATTTCTCTCTTTCTATATCCCTTATAAAAGCAGCTGGAAAGTCAGCAAAAGAGCTACAAGATAATGGTATAGGCATATATGAAGGAGAGTAATATGCTAAAATAGTATAGAATGTGCCACATCTTTACCTTCTCACTGATAGAGCAGTAGTACTTACTATTTCCTACTAATAATTAAAGACTTCTTAGTATAGAATTAGTGCTAATATCATGAAATTAGAAACCAATCCAATGCTCACAATGTGTTGCTCCCAATTAGGAGATTAGATACTTTTAGATGCTATTAACACTTTTAGATACTTTTAGACACTATTAGATATAATCTGGAGCTAATAGAAGGGGGTGTTTTTCCAGATGATGCCCTTGATGTAGCATGCATCTACTTCAACTATCAGGTTCCGAACGCCGATGAGATACATTTTGAGCGATCGGAGGGCGTGAAAGAGACCGTAGAGTTCGAGCTTCGGCTGGGAGAATCGCAATTCGTGGTTGTTAAGGGTGATGGAGCCAAATCGGGCATAGTACCAAACCCACAGATTGTTGAGTGCGCATTGGCAGAGGTGGAAGCTGACCGCAATTTGTGAGGTATCGACGGCGAGGATGACATTGGCTGCCGACCCATAGTCGATCGGCCGAAGGGCTGGCAATTTGAGGAGTGCCGACTGGAGATTGTCTTGGGCTGCTATCTAGTCAGGACTGAACACGAATGGAAAATCTTTGCACGTTAACATAGTTAGTGCATGCGCCCAGTGTGCAAAATTCCAAATGAAGATCCAAACAACACCGATCGTCCCCAGAAATGCCCGAACGTCCAAGAGATCCCTGCAAGGTCCCCACTTCATAATTGACTCTATCCTAGACTCGTCAGGTAATCTTCCTTTGTACGTGCAGTTGTTACGAACTGCTCGTTCGGTAACCCCAAGAGTAGGAGGTTCTTCCCTAGGTCACTCGTGGAGGATGTGTGGAACGGTGGTCTCGACTGTACGTGTAGCACAGGAGCCAGAGTTGTATTGCGATGTAGCAATGAAGGCTGTAGTATGAAGACTACAGAGAATGAAGTAGACAGTATGAAGACTGCCTAAGAACGAAGAGAATAGACTAAAGAACCTCAGCCTACTCTATGGGCCTTTTATACTACTTTAGGAAATAGGGTGTGAGAATACCGTATATGTATCTGTAGGTATTCTCTAAGTCGTCTCTCTCAATAACGACTACTCTTGTGCTTCTCCGTTCGTCTCCTTCCGGCCAGGAAAGACTAGGAGGTTAATGCCCGGTGTGTGAGTAGTTTGTAAGGCGGCATTCTATGCCCGTCGCAATATGGCTCGTGATACTCGACCAACGATAAGGTGATCCGTTGGGAGTGGATGACCAAGGTTACTATCTGTACCTTGTTGTACGCCTCCCCTTGTGAGGCCGCTTGATATTTGTGATGATCGTGTCGGAATAGACTGCCGTTAAGGCCCAACAGAACGTGATCATAACAATACCCCCTTTCTACGTCCTATTCGCCTGGTAGGACAGCGCTTCTGCGCTTCATCGCCACTCCATATACGATTTGCTTTCTTGATCCAAAAACTGGTCTCCGGATGCGACTTCCGGGACATGACTTCGTTTTCTGGGAGGAAGACCGACTTACGTCGTTTGATCCTCTAGGAGTTTTCCTTCTCCGTTGAGCTGTTTGTTTCTCGGCCATAACGCAGGGGGTTCCAAGCCCTGGGCCACTAGGATGTTCTTCCTTCACCCCTCGGTTGTTGTGATCTTTCCTGGGTTCTCAAGCCAGGATGTCAGTCCGGTCGGTCTCCGGACAGGTGTCAAGAAAGGCGTATGAATGCGAGTGGTGTGTGGATGAATAGAAACTCTAGCATGTGGATTCCAGTTCGTGTCATCAGGTTCTTCTTCTTCCTTCTCCGAGGGCCAAACCTCAGTGTTTCCAGGATAGTCGTTATCCTCGTGATTTGTGTTGTTCCTCTTGGCGTTCAGAGGATGGCGTCCACGGACAAGTAGGTTGATCGCTTTACAAAGGCTTAGGCCTACTTCCCCAGACTACCATCTTAACGTCCCAAGCAGTATTGCTCCCATACGGTGAGCTCATCTCCGGTGAGGTTGCAGCCATAAATCCCAAGCAGTATTGCCCCCATACGGTGGGCTCATCTCCGGTGAGCTAGTTCGACATCCAGAGTTTGTTTGATTCACTATGCGTATTGGGTTTGAGGCAAGGATGTGAAGAGAATTAGACTTGAAGGGTGCCGTGAGGAGTAAGGAGGAGTCTGACTCCTTCTCCAGATCGGCCTGTTCGCTTGCACGAATGGACATTAAGACCACAGCTGATATATTTGTCGGGTTGCGAGATATATCCACGAGAGCAGTTTAAACGTCTTGCTGGATGTTCCGTAGTTTATCGTCATTGCGGACGAAGACCTAGTTTTACGTTGTTGCGGACGACAGTAGTTTTACATCGTTTCGGATGTATTAAGGCGCCCTGCGCTGCCTTGTAGTTTACTTCTAGGTCATTTGCGGACCTTCTTCATCATCAACATGGAATATCTGTGGGGAAAGATGTTTCTGCACGCCGGAATTTCCATCGGTTGTGTGCATAGGGCCCTAGACCAGACTTTGTCCCGCAGGTTTCCACTGAGGCATGATGGGAACGGTTTATACTATATCAAACCGGATAACTTATACGTCTCAATATTAGGAGACCGCTCAGTTTAACGCCGTGAGGTAGGCGACTTGCAGTTTAACGCCGTGCTTTAGGCGGGCTATCGTCTGACTATGTCCCTCGAGTCACGATAGGCTTTTCCTTCCGAGGATGAAGGTAGTTTACCGTCATTTCGGACGTTGTCGACACATTCTCATCAAGAATGATGTCGACCGATGATCCCTGTACTAAAAGGGACGAGTAGTTTAACGTCTTTTCGGACGGTTGATGACCATGGTCTTGGTCAACAACCACAACTCCTATTTGGTGAGGAGCAAATAGTTTTCCATCATTGCGGACGCATTGGTGTCCAGGGGATTGGACATCAATGACAACCCCTAGGTCCAGGGGCACTAGTTTAACGTCGTCGCGGACGCGCAGTATCTTGTCAAGATCGCCATGCACAATCCCTATACTTGAAGGGACCAGTAGTTTAGCGTTGTTTCGGACGCGTGGGGATAACCTTGATTTCCACCACGCACGATCCCTAGAACGAAGGGACGATAGTTTTACATCATCTCGGACGCCCGTAGTTTACCGTCGTTGCGGACATCGATGCCATTTCCATTGCAAAAATGGCCTCGAACAATCCCTATGTGGAAAGGGACAATAGTTTATCGTCATTGCGGACGAATGGGCATCTGGTCGAGATATCCATTACAATCCTCATTCTTGAGAGGACAATAGTTTAACGTCATCGCGGACGTTGTTTCGCCACAAATATTGTGGAAAAACAATGCTTAGTTTAACGTCATCCCGGACGTTTCGTAGTTTATCGTCGTTGCGGACGAATGGCGGAATAGACTTCTCCGTATGAGTGGCCCGCTCTTGTCGTTCTTCCGCTATGTGGGCCAGACGAGAGTCGCATGATCTAGTCCCTTCCTACTAGATCTTCAACTCGAGGCACGTGTCCTAGTTGCCTCCTGACTAGGTCTTGGAGCGGAATTTCTTGTACTTCGACTCCAGGACTAGACTGAGCGCTCCATGAAGAGATGCTTGCTCTTCCATGTCCCCAGACCCCTCGCTTGGATTTGAACCAAGACGACCCGATATTCTTTTACTGAAAAGCGAGTGAATATCGGAAGCGCTTCGACCTTTTATAGGCAGGGTTCTGTGACGCGAGTCCTTCCGCGCTTCGCCAGAATGCAACCACGCTCCTTTGGGTCAATGGTAGTTTAACGTCATCTCGGACGGTGATAGTTTTCCGTCATTTCGGACGATGACTAGTTTAACGTCATTGCGGACCCTAGTAGTTTATAGTCATTGCGGACCAAGCCTTTGGTAGTTTTACATCGTTCCGGATGTGGTTTTGTGGCCTCGCATCATTAGGAAGACTTGTGAGGTAGAGGCGGCCCGCTCTCTACATCATCTCATGCGCCAGCTGTAGGATCCCCTAATGCGGAAACGATCCTGTAAAACGGGAGATCCAAAGTGGGACGTCCCAAAACACCAGTCAGACCTTGACTGTGAGGGTTCACGATACGAGTTATGCGTCATAATTTCTTGACTCGGACTTGCAACCGGTTATGTATGGGCACTTCGCTGTACCAAGGCGAAGGGCCTGCTTGTCGACACCTACGAGTAGAGTATATGTCATGTAGAGGGTTCCCTAATGCGGAAAAAACCCTGTAAAACTGAGGATCCAAATGGGACGCTCGATGCATCTGTCAGATTTCTCCTTGACAGCGAGGATGTGAAAGGTTCTGCCGTAGGTCGTACGTGGAATTATGCCCGCTGTTGTCCTTGATTCGTACCATCATTTGAACCTAGGACTAATGGTCAGGTACTTCCCCTGCCTTCTTATCTTTTCACAGTTTTAAGACATGCAGGTCCGATAGTTTAGACGTCATTCCGGACGTGGGGTAGTTTACCGTCTCTTTCGGACGAGGTCGTACAGTTTAACGTCTTGAGGGACGATCCTAGTTTTACGTCATTGCGGACGAACAGTAGTTTAAGGTCATTTCAGACCCTCAGTGGGGAAGGAGTTCCTCAACTTCCTTACCCCCTTTCTCGCTCCGCAACTGGCCCTCTCTAGTAGTCGTAGGGTCCTTGGTACCTGTCGCCTCCTTCATCAGGCCGATAATAAGGATCGGCGTCATCATAATTTCCGGGGTCGTCTAAAGCATCCCATGCATCGAGCTCGGATCGAGTCCAAGAGCGATTTCTTCTAGCCTCCGAATTAGCGCGGCGAGTTCTGCGGCTACTTTGGTTATTCTGTCCCTCATCTGTACGAAATCGAGCACTAGGAGGAGGCGTTCCAGGCCGGTGTCGAACACTCCCGCCAGTAGTTGTTCTGCGGCGGAGGGTTGCCTGGGTCCCTCGACTCCTTCTTCCCTCGTTTCTTCGATAGACGGGTGGTTCCTCCTCGTCGGTACCCCCATAGGATAAGGGAGAATTTCGTACCCGGTGAGAGGAGGACGTCGTGGGATTGCTATGTGTTGTACGATTTTCCCGTGGCCTCGGTGAAGGGCGTTCCACGACCGTGTGCGGAGTCCTTCTTGGATTTGGTACAGCCGTGGGACGTTCTCCGGGACGTGGTACATTCCAGACGACAATGCGAAAGGGGTCGGTTCTACTAGGTTGGACGGCGCCCAGTTCTCCGGTGAAGAAGAGAGCTGGAAGGAGCTCTCTGTTGACATACTGGGAGAATTTGTCAGGATGGATGAGGAGAGCTCGTGGTCGTCCGTCGTTATGTTCATACCAAGAGGCGGTGTCAGGGTCTGTTTGGAGGGCGAGTCCTCTGATCTGGAGACTGGCACTAGCCAGTCATCGAGGTATGTCGCTATGCTCATTCCCGGGTTGCCCTGCAGCGAAGTTAGCGAGTCGTTGTAGGGCCATGGCTGTGGCCATTTGTATTACCGCAGAGATAGTGCTTCACTGGAGGAGCGCGTCCGCGTGTCGCTCCAATTCTCCGGTGTGAGGATCTGTACCAAGGGTAGTTCTTCCCATGGAGCGGGGAATCTGTCCACCAGTTGGTACTGGCGGAGGTGTAGCTCCCTGTATAACTGGTATCGATCCAGTTTCTCCATGGCTTGGGAGTTGAGCTGCTGTTCTTGCTTGTAGTCCCGAGGGACCTGCAGCTCCAATGCTCGCCGTGATTGTAGCAGGAGGTGGAACTCCCACTGGTACTTCGTCAGAGCCCGGTAGGTTTCTGTCATCAGGGTTTTCATTCCGTGATGCATCTCGTGGGGCCCCCTAGGATGACGGTCGGCGAGTTCTTTCTCTTTCTTTGAACTTGGCGTAGTCCTCGGCATCGTCATCTGAGAAGTTATTGAGGTGTGGAGTAAGGGTGACGACGGCGGGCTCTAGACGGTGAGGGCTGGTTCCTCTATCAATTCGTCCAGCATTGCTTGGGTAAGGACTGGTTCCTCTATCCACTCGTCCGATGTCTAGATTGGACACCATAAGGACGACATCAGGGGAGGAGTTTCTGGATGGTGATGAAGCATCGTGGTCTTCGTGAAGGAGCATTTGAGTGAAGGAGAAGGAACTTGAGAGAAAAGTGGGGGAAGATGATCCGTTAGGGCTCTCTGGTCTCTCTTTTATAGACTTTCCCTCCCCTATTCAGGGTGCTCCCAGACAAGGTTTGTCAGGGTATTGGTCGTGAAACTCTTTCATAGCTTCTTCCGCTGTCCCCTTTAGGAGAGCGTAGGGTTCCCAGGTGTTGTCTGCCTCGGGATATCCCACCCACTTGACCAAGTATTTGGTTCCCCGTCCTTGTTTCTTTGAGTCCACAATCATTTCTACTTCGTAATGTTCTTCATCGTTTAATACCTCCCGCAATGATCTTGCGAAGTTTTCCCCGTGTGCCTCGGTTTCCCTATACTTGGTTAGCGTTGCGGCGTGGAACACCGGGTGGATCCTCCAGTGTTGGGGAATTTGAAGTTTGTATGCCAGGGTTCCCACTTTTGCCAATATTTTGAAGGGTCCATACCTCCTAGGAGCGAGTTTGAACTTTGGATGGGTCGTCCGGATATGGGTTCCTTCTAGCCATACTTGGTCTCCTTCTTTCCACTGAGGGAGTTTCCTGTGGAGATCCTGGTCTTTGGCGTAATTGCTGGCTATTTGTAGGCTGGCTGCGGCTTCTTCCTGGACTTCCGTGATTACCTTAATGCGTTCAGCTACCGTGGGTAGCTTTGTTTCCAGCGCGGTGTCAGCTAAATAAGGGGGATTAGACCCGTATAGCACTTCGAAAGGAGATTTTCCGGTGGTTGAATGTTTCCGCGTATTGTGCGAGAATTCGGCAAACGGCAAAAGGTCCACCCAGTTATCTTGGTGGTAATTGCAGAACGTTCTCAGGAACTGTTCAATCTCCTGGTTTACTCGTTCTGTTTCTCCATCTGTCTGGGGATGATAAGCCGTGCTGAGAGCAGCGGTGATTCCTAGCCGTTTCCAGAGTTCTCGGGTGAACTTGGCCGCAAATTGAGGGCCGCGATCAGATACTATTTTGGTTGGCAACCCATGTCGGTTGAAAACGTTATTCTGGAAAAGCACGGTTGTTTCTTCTGCCGTGATCGTTTTCTTGCATGGGGTGATGACTATGCCTTTGGACAGACCTTGATCCACTACCACATTGATTGAGTCAAAACCCTTGCTTTCGGGTAAGTCCGTGACGAAGTCTGTCGAGATGAATCGCCAAGGGACGTTGGTAGTTTCCAAAGGGTGGATAGGGGGGTGCGTCTTGTGTGTCAAATTCTTGGTCGATTGACATACCGCACATCCGTCCACGTATTCATGAACGAACTTTGTCATGTTTTGCCACCAATAGTGTCGTTGTACCATCTCCAGCGTTTTGGCTCTCCCCGGGTGTCCTGCTGCGAGTGCGTCGTGATGCGTTTTGACAATAAGCCTTCGTATGGCATCATCTTTTGGGACGCATATATGGCTGTTTCATCTGGTGATTCCGTCTTCGTGTGTCCAGTGTCCCAGTAATCCTCTCATTCCTTGTGGCCCTACTCGCAAGAGTTTGGCGAGGGCTACCCTTGTCAGGGCATCATGTTCCGATTTTGAGAGTCGGATGAGGGAGATGAGGTCTGAGGATGCGATTTCCGTGGGCTTAATATGCCGTATTGGGGACGGTTCTACCAGTGTTTCGTCGGATTTGTTAAAAAGGTTGGCCGGAAGCAAAATTTGAGCTTTGTTGTCAGATTCCACCCCCTCACTTAGATCTGGACGCCTGGACAGAGCATCGGAATGATTTGTCTATCCCGCTTTATAGCTGAGCGTGAAGTCGAATCTGCTCAAATAAAGGCTCCAACGGGCGTGTCGTCGTGAGAGATCTCGCGCCGTTTGGAAGTGTTCCAGGTTCTTGTGATCTGTCCAGATCTCGAATGGGTGTCGTGCACCTTTGAGGTAATGGTTCCAGTGTTCCAACGCTTTTATGATGGCCAGGAGTTTGCGATCGTGGACGTCATAATTCCGTTCTGCTGGTGAAAATGACCCGGAAAGGAATGCGACTGGGTGCCAGTCGCCATCTTTTCCTTCTTGCAGGAGGGTGGCTCCGTAAGCGATTAGTGAGGCATCCGTTACTAGTCGATATGGATGCATGGGGTCCGGGTAGTTTAGAACGGGTTTACTGATAAATGCCCTTTTTAATCGTTCGAAAGCTTCCTGGCACTTCGAAGTCCAGTTCCATTTTGCATCCTTTTTGGTGAGGTCGTGCAGAGGGCGCGCGATAAGGGAGAACTTATCAATGAAACGCCTGTAAAAGTTTCCTAGACCTAAAAAGGAGCAAATGTCTCGGACAGTGCGTGGGACTGGCCAATCTTGTATGGCGTCCACCTTTGAGTCTTCCATAGCGACATGGTCTTTTGAAATTGTGTATCCCAGGTATTGGAGTTTTTCTTTATAAAACTCGCATTTTTCTGGCTTCAAATAGAGGTCATTGTCGCGTAAGATCTGGAAAACTTGGTTCAAGACTTGGATATGTTCTGCCATGTTTTTGGAGAAGATGAGGATGTCGTCCATATATACGGCTATTTTCCGGGCCGTGATGAGTTCTCTGAAGATCATGTTCATCATGGCCTGGAAGGTGGCTGGTGAGTTAGTGAGGCCGAAGAACATCACCGTGGGTTCATAAGAACCCAACGGAGTGATGAAAGCTGCCTTCCACTCGTCCCCCTTTTTGATTTGTATATTGTTGTATCCCCACCGTACATCCAATTTGCTGAAAATGGTGGCCCCTTTGATTACGTCCAGTAGTTCTTGGATTAATGGAAGGGGGCACACATTTGGGATGGTGTACGAGTTCAAATGGCAATAGTCCTGTACCGGGCGCAGTTTTCCATCTTTCTTTCCTATAAAGAAAAATGGGGCTGCCGTTTGCGAGGTGGATCGACGGATGGTCCCCCGAGTGAGGTGTTCCTTGATGAATTTCCCTAGTTCATCGTGTTTCTCCGGGCTTAAGGCGTAGATTTTTGGTACTTGAGGTTTGAAAGTTGGTTTCAGATCTATGGCGTGGTCCCAATAAGTGTGCTCGGGGAGTCGCTGCGACTTTCGTTCGCTGAAAATGTCCAAAAATTCGTGATGCGCCTTGGGGACTCTTTCCTTTAGATTGGTGACGACGATCTCGTCCTCCGAGTCCTGGTCGAAGCTGGCAAATCCTGACGGTTCGGGAGCCAGTTTCCGAATAACTGGTTCCTCTATAGCCTGTTTTCCTGAGGTTTCATCTGGGAGATCAGGTTCTCCCTCGTTTGGTGAAAGAGATGGTTTGGCTTGAGCCTGTCGTTTCTCTTCTGCGTATTTCCTTATGTCCTGTAGGAGCCATTTCCTTTTGAGGTATGCTCGTAGTTGGACACCAAACGTTCCGCTATGATCGCGGAGTCCTACATCTTCTGATAATCTTCGGAGATGTTCTAGGCACTGTTTTTCGCGCTCGTTAATGCGTGGTTTGTGCCGTGGCTCCACGTCTGATAACCGCCTATTGTTTTGCGGTTCTTCCCTTGCCCTAGTGAAACCATGTGGTTGCTGGCATTTCTGGGGGCACCGATCAAAGTGCACTTCACGTCGCCTCCATTCGATGGAGGGATCGTGGTATTTCAACCAATCTGTTCCTAGGATAAGGTCGTCCTTCCCTAGATTGGAGATAAACATCTGGACACGTTCAGTATGCGTTCGTCCTCTGATGTCCCGAATGGTGAGGTTCACATCCAAGGCGGATCGGATGAGACCTGCTTTATTAATGGTGTCATCGAGGTTCCGGACGCGAATGGGGTTGTTGAGTGTGTAGGTGGGGAAACGATGTCTCCTGACCCAAGTTTCGTTTACTATAACCCCTTCGCATGCCGAGTCGATGGTTGCCTTAGCTCCAGCGTATTGATCCCTGTTTGATACCTTCACGTTTAGGCATATGGGGGTGATGATATGATCATTCATTGCTCTAATACGGATATATGTGTTGGCATCAAACTCGGGCCTTCCTTGACCTCTCTCCTTCGCTGGTGAGGGAGAGGTCAGGAAAAACGCTCCGCGTGTCCCAAGATTACTTCTCTTGCTTCATCTTCTCCTAATTCTCCGAGCACTGCTCCGATTCGAGCAGAATGACTGACGCTTCCGTCTCCCCGTCGTCCGTTAGGTAACATAGCGCGTTGCCCATGGTTCGTTTGGGGTCGTCCGGATGGGGCAGAGTGAGGACGTTCCATCGAAGGACCAGGTTGTGGTACCCGCTGGTTGTTGCGATGAACATCCTCTGTCTCCATTCCTCGATATATTCCCGCTTGGTCTCCCATAGCGGGTGCGTCGTCTTCTCCCTCCAAATCAGTCGCGCGGTTTCTTCTCCCTGTCGTACCCATGCGTCTCTTCGAGTTTCCTCGAACTGGGCGAACGCCTCTACGTGGTGACCAACAGTCAGCACTAGAGTGCCCTGGCTTTCCACAGTTAGAACAGGAGGTGGTTCGCTTGCCGTCAAATTTTCTCTTTTGACTTTCGGCGTTACGCTTCCTGGTAGCGTCGATGTCCATGTCAACCACCTGGTTGTTCATTTTGCGAGGGGCAGTTGTGGAGTTATAACGGACGGCTGGTTGGGTATGGAAACGATTCAGATAATCGCTGCGAAAGGAGGTGGAGTTGGCAAGGATGGCTTTTTGAGTGGATCTGGCTCTGAGTCGTCCGTCTATTTCGCAGGCTGTGTTAATCCAATCCTGAATGGTGTCCTTTGGTTGAACTTCCTTGTCATATATTTTATCCATGACGCGCGGGTCTAACCCGCATTGGAAGTAGGGGACTTGCTCTTTGTCGGAGATGTCGGCATCGGCAGCAATGAGAATGAACTGGTTGGAGTATTCATCAACCGTCATTCGTCCTTGGGAGAAGGCCATGAGTGCACTTCGCGCTTTATCGGTCTTGCCTGTCTCCCTAAATTGGAGCTTGAACTTTGTTAAAAAGTCCCTCCAGGTTCCTAGATCAGTGGGAGGGTCCGCTCCTACTGATTTGAGGAGGAAGTTCTTGGCCCAAGCTCCTGCCGTGCCATATCTCATGCATGAGAGCACGAGGGATATCTTGTCTTGATCGGTCTTGTACCGATCGGATTCTGCTGCGAAAAGAAGGAGGCATTGGAGCATGAATTTCTGGGATTCAATGCGGTTTCCTGTGTAGTTGTCTGGGAGTTTGACTTTTCCTCTTCTGGGTTGTACTGTTGCGGAAGGGGGGTCTGTGGAAGTCGAAGCTTGTCCCGACATTTCGGCGAGTGATTCGTTTCGGGTGTTGATCGGTGTTTGGTCTGGTGAGTCGGAGTCTGATTCTGAGGTTGTTTCCTCTTGCTCCGAATCTTCGGGGATTACCGGCGCCGGTTCCCTGTATTGTGGGGCTAGTTCCCACTGAGCTTCTGTTTCGTTCCAAATATCCTCTTCTTCTATTCCGTCTTCAAGGGTGAAGTAATAACGCCCGTTTCGGTATGAGCAGTTATCGTAATTCGGAGGGGCGTATCTGTTGTTGTCTTCGTAGACCCAGAAGTCCCCTTCGCGCCGGATAGGGCGATTGTTGTGACGGAATTGGTTATTGATACGTCTAGTGCCGGGTGGGTATTCCTGGCCTAGGTCTTGCTCCAGAGTGTGTGCAGTAACACTTTCTCGATGGGGGTCTATATCCCCACTGAGCCAGGTTATGAGAGAGAGTGTGGCAGCAAGCTAGTGCGAGCAAGGTAGGGGCAGAAGAGTCTATTCTAGTGTTACGAACTGCTCGTTCGGTAACCCCAAGAGTAGGAGGTTCTTCCCTAGGTCACTCGTGGAGGATGTGTGGAACGGTGGTCTCGACTGTACGTGTAGCACAGGAGCCAGAGTTGTATTGCGATGTAGCAATGAAGGCTGTAGTATGAAGACTACAGAGAATGAAGTAGACAGTATGAAGACTGCCTAAGAACGAAGAGAATAGACTAAAGAACCTCAGCCTACTCTATGGGCCTTTTATACTACTTTAGGAAATAGGGTGTGAGAATACCGTATATGTATCTGTAGGTATTCTCTAAGTCGTCTCTCTCAATAACGACTACTCTTGTGCTTCTCCGTTCGTCTCCTTCCGGCCAGGAAAGACTAGGAGGTTAATGCCCGGTGTGTGAGTAGTTTGTAAGGCGGCATTCTATGCCCGTCGCAATATGGCTCGTGATACTCGACCAACGATAAGGTGATCCGTTGGGAGTGGATGACCAAGGTTACTATCTGTACCTTGTTGTACGCCTCCCCTTGTGAGGCCGCTTGATATTTGTGATGATCGTGTCGGAATAGACTGCCGTTAAGGCCTGACAGAACGTGATCATAACAGCAGTGATGGCCGACCACCGTGATTTCGGCTGCGCAGAGCATCGCCTTGTGTCCCGAAAATGTTCCTCCGCTGTACTTCATCTGCTGGACCACCCAATTGAGGCCTTGAAAGTGTTCCCACACAAATTGTCGTATGCCGGGGTTGTCAGGATGCGTCTCAAAGCCTCCATTTGGAAGTTTGTATTGGGTCGGCAGGCCCCAAATTGGAACATCGTCAATGAAAGGAATGGTGGTGTCTGGAATTTCTGGCTGGAGGATGTGGGTGACGTTGTTGTGGAAGATCAAGACCGAATTTGTCCATCCCATGGGCAGGGTGACAAGTCGGTGGGCGTCGAATGGGGTCTGGAACATGGTAAAGTCGTGAGATGATTCGGTGAGCCCTCGTTCGTCATATCCGACATAGAGATCCAGAATGCCACCGCAAGCGCGAGCTGCAAACTGTTCAGCGATCTGATCGGTATATGGGGGCACACCTGAATGCTGGATGGTGACGGCATTCAAGGGTTCGAGGCTGTGAACTATTCGGAGTTTGGTGCCAGTGGAGGTGCTATTTGTCTTCTTGACGACTGTAAACCAGCGTGATCGGTAGGAAGAATTTGACGGCTCATAGACTCCAGCAGCGATCTTGGTCTTGATAAGTCGGCACACTTCGTCGTAGATGCCTTGTGGAATTGGAATGTTGTGCTGAACCCAGGGCTTATGTTCGACTACTGGCATATTGACTGGTGGGAAGAAGTTCTCGTGGAAACATCCGCGTTCTGAATCATCCCAAGCAAATCCCATCTCTTGTAGACACATGAAATGGTGCATGAGCTGTCATTCGGCCGGCCAAAGGAAGTCGTCCGAGTGGACTTTGTCGATGAGGTCGCGTCATTCGGCTGTATATCTACCAGTCGGTGTGAATGGTGGGGGGTTCAGTGTCAGCGTTGGAAGGGTAGCGAGAGGGTCACCAAGGATGTTCCAAACGATTCGGAACTTTTCAGGGAGGTTGGCCAAGACTGGTCGTGTTTTCTGTGCGACTGGTTTGTACTTGCACTTGGCGGCAAAGATGGCGACTGGGTCGGCGATATTAGTGGAATGGAAAGAACCGGGGATGACTGAGGAAAATAAGGACAACATATTGGAATCAAGATTGTTCTTGAGATGATTTTCGGGCCCCAAATTGGAGGCCATAATGTACTTGAGACAAAGATCGTGACGAGAGGGAGATGGAGAATGGAAATCTGAGGATGCTTCGATAGCTGGGAAATTGGGGGGTATCATGATTGGTGGAAATGATCAGTGCAACTTCTCCTTGATCTTGGATCAATTCATCGAGTCATGAAAACCCGCTTGTCTTCAGTGAAGGACTCGAGGGGGTTCTCGTCTGATCGTCGGAATGGTGGCTTGTAGTCCCGCGTTCAGGTCACTGATGGTGATCGTCTGGTCTTCGTTTGAATAATTCTTGATGATACTTTTGGTGAGGATGTCGAAGGGCCGACTGAGGAGAACATCATAGGCTGGGTTCTGAATGATGTGGATTTGGAGGTACAGGGTGATGTCACCGATGAGGAATGGGACGTTGCGTGCGAGTCCCAAGGATTGGTCAATTTTGCCATTCACCGACTGCATATTGAGGATGATTTCGGGGTCGTAGATGAGTGCCAGTTCATTACAAATGCCTTCCGACATGGCGATGACTTGTGAACCTGGGTCGATGACACATTTGACTTCCTGTTGGTGATCGACGAGGGGGACAATGGACCTTAGGGCAGACGATTCTTTAGCAACTATCAACGGCTGAGGAACCTGACCGGGTTGTAGACTCTTCAGATATGTTTCGTACATGTCGGGGATTATGATCGCGCCAGGTGGAGGTGTTTCAGGCTGGTGCAGGACATTGACGAAGGAGGAGATGGTTGGTCGCGTCGGTGATTTGAGATCGTCAATGGCGTAGGGTAGATCAGCATCTTGGTAGAAGGTCCGAACATTGCTGGCGTCTTTGGTAGGCGATCGGCGTGCCGAAGTGGCTTCCCTGACCTGCGAACAGACTTTGGCGGAGAGGGAGAGTAGTTTGCACTGGGTAAGCGTCACCTGAGTGGCCATTGCCCTGTTGTAGACCTTGGCTGCTACCTTCTTGTTGTAGATTGGCACCGTAGTCTTTCAGGCCGGAGCATCCTTCTTTGCTGAGGGTATCTTCGCTGGGGCTCCCATGTTGCGCTCGTGTGGTGGTGCATAAGTCGCGTCCTGGGCTTTGGCATATGGGTGGATCAGAGCATCATCCTTGGCTGGCACCGGGGGCGGTCGCTGAGTCGGGGTGGTCAGTCAGGGCTCGGGTTCGGGGGTTTCGGTCCTTGCTCATTGTTTGGGGGCTGGTGAAGGGGTAGATGCCGAACGTCCCATCTGCACCATTTCTCATGCCCTTGCGCCCCATGTTTGGAGTGTGTATAGTTCGCGTTCGAGGCTTGCAATTCACTGGACGTTGGTGAGTTGGTAAGTTGGGGTGACATCCAGCAGCGAGGGTGAATCGTGACGGGAGGCTATTGTCATTGGGTGAGTCAGCGCCGCGTTTACCATAAACATCATCTGTCCAGTCGCCAACTGGCCTGGATTCCTGCAATGCCATTCGTCAACTCGGTCCTTCAGGTTACTACCTGTGATTTCTCTGGGTACGAATGCCCCACTTGACAATACCACCTTCCCCTTGATATTCTGCTTGCATTTGCTGATCTGAATGTATTTGGTGACCTCGGGACAGGCGTGCATGAAGTGTTTGGGACTGCCGCAGAACATGCAGTTGTCGCCGCCTTGTCCTAGTTGCTGGGATGGTTGATCGGCTGGCCTGGAAATCCCTTGAGCTGCAATGGCCTTGACGAAGGTGTCGGTGAGCCATTTGAACATGGTCGCCAGATCTTCAGCCTTGATCGCATTGGTGGGCGGCGCGGCGGGGGCTGCTCGAGAGATGTCGGTAGACGTAGTGCTGTATGTGGATGTGGTGCCGTGCAAGATGAATCGGGCTGCGTCGTGGATGTCCTGGAGGTTGTATAGGTCGTCTGGGAAATGATCGGGGAACTTGAGTTGTAGACGTTGAGAGATTCTTGCCCATAGCTCCGGTTGGAATCCTCTAGCGAAGGCGCATCCTTGTTCAGCAACCGAGATTTGTGTCTTGCTGAGGAGGAATACTGTGATTGCCAGGAATTGCCGATGATAGTTGCCTAGTTCGCTGAGAGACAAGATGCCGACCCTGCTCGTTTCGCCGACTAGCTTGTCCATATCTGATACCAACCATTTGCGCTCTTCCTCCGATCTGGAGTACAGTCTGTAGACTTCTTCGCAGAACTCCTTGAATGTCTTTGTGGCGTCGGTGAAAGTGGTGAGCGATTCCCAAAGCTCGCAGGTGTCGACGTTGATGAGCATGCACCCGCGCTAGGGTCCGAGGGAGGTATTCGGGAAGCTTTGGGGAGATACCGAACAGTGCTAGACAAGTACCGAAGACGCCGACTTTTACCGAACACGGTCGGTCCCTACCCGACCGACGACAAGCCACCGAAGGACGTTCGGCAGCACTTGGGTCAGTTTGCCCACACTTCACGTACTTACCATGACCGCATAGGAGTGTTACAATAAGTGTTTACGAGATCGGAGCCAGTATTCCGTATCGGCTGATGTCCTCCGTGAGTCGGTCGGTCCTTATCGCTTATCTTCCTGACTTCCGCATGGTCGGTCAAACACGATCTTGCACCATTGCTTGGCCACCCCGGTCGTACGATACCTCTTCTTTATTTTTCATTGGCTCTCCAACACCTGTTCCTGCTACCTACGCTCGGGCGACGGATCCCGAACGTTCGGGATTTCGACATCACTGATTACCTTTTACCTTATCACCTTCGGAACCCATATGGACATCTCACCTACCTTCTTATCTTCTCTGATCGCTGGGGCTTGGCGCCCATTCGACATCTACTCTCATTTCGGGTTCGATATTTTACTTAGGGGCGCTGTTTACTATAAAAACCTACATACAACTCTGGAATAAACCAGCTTTCGCACCCCACAGTTCAGAGCTCATTCGCATTCGTCTCAACCATCGAAATCGTCTTCGTCAACCTCCGAAAACTTGTCATCCTCGTCGTTCGGCCTCATTCGTGTTCGTACTCGTCCCTTCGCTCGTACCCCCGTCCTCCCTCGTATATTGTCAGAGTCCCGTGTGGCTCTTGAAGCACGTAGTCGTCGGTCACGACACTACCTTCTCGTTACCGACCGCATCGCCGACACGACCGACCGAACATTCGGTCGGTGTTCGGCGCAGTCCCGAAACCGTTCGGGCGCTATAATCTCACCCTCCCCGATTGCTTCTCAGTACGCCTTCAATTTCTAAAGTCATCACTAACAATTCCTTGTGTATTAGATACTAGCTCCAGCACCCCTGCATTAGAGGTTGTTTTAGTGTTGTGCTCGGCACTTAGAGCCACCTCTAGCGTATCATTTTGGAGCCCACCGCGAGGGGTTAGTATTCAAAATTACCTCAAGGAATCTACGTCGCTCGTCCCGACCAACAGCGGAGCGCGAAGAACGACAAACAGTTATCGACAGCTTCAATACTCAGGAAACATCTGCCGACCGAAGTTTGTTCGGAGACGCCGATATAGTCCCGGAACATCTATCCCACCATCACTATCTTGATCTTGAATCCTCGCCATCGCTCTCGCCGCCACCCGACTCCACTTTCTTCTTAACCCCACCTTCGTCGCCGAACCGATCGCTACTCCCGCCGATTTCCCCCATCCTTGATCTTGCGCTTTTAGAACAACAACCCCCGTCTCCTATACCATCCCTCCACGACTCCATCTCACCGTTAATCCCACGCAGCCCCGTCTTCTGGACGCCGACCATCCAACCAACTTCGCTAGAACGCTCCTTTGAACCAGCAACTCCATCCCCGATCACTTTAGCAAACGATATCTTTTCTCCCACCTTTGACTTTCTCACTATGGCGACCCCATCCATGCCCGCTCATGGAGATCGAACGGCCCCGACCTTTGACCCCCATCAACCCCGCGAATTGAGACGATATTTTGCCGATCTGGACTTCCACTTCGGTCGGTCAGCGATAGAAGACGAGCAGGAAAAGAAGAAACACACGTGCCGATTCCTGGACGTCGACACCTGCGAGCTTTGGGAATCGCTCACCACTTTCACCGACGCCACAAAGACATTCAAGGAGTTCTGCGAAGAAGTCTACAGACTGTACCCTGGATCGGAGGAAGAGCGCAAATGGTCGGTATCAGACATGGACAAGCTAGTCAGCGAAATGAGCAGGGTCGGCATCTTGTCTCTCAGCGAACTCGGCGACTATCATCGGCGATTCCTGGCGATCACGGTATTCCTCCTCAGCAAGGCACGGATCTCGGTCGCCGAACAAGGACGCGCCTTCGCTAGAGGATTCCAACCGGAGCTATGGGCAAGAATCTCTCAACGTCTACAACTCAAGTTCCCCGATCATTTCCCAGACGACCCATACAACCTCCAAGACATCCACGACGCGGCCCGATTCGTCTTGCACGGCACTACGTCCGCCTACAGCACGACCTCTACCGACATCTCTTGAGCAGCCCCCGCCGCGCCGCCCACCAACGCAATCAAAGCCGAAGACCTGGCGACCATGTTCGAACGACTCACCGACACCTTTGTCAAGGCCATTGCAGCTCAAGGGACGTCCAGGCCAGCCGATCGACCATCCCGACAACCAGGACAAGGCGGCAACAACTGCATGTTCTGCGGCAGTCCCGAACACTTCATGCGCGCCTGTCCCGAGGTCACTGAATACATTCGGATCGGCAAATGCAAGCGGAACATCGAGGGGAAGGTTGTATTGTCAAGTGGGGCATTCGTACCCAGAGAAATCACAGGTAGTAACCTGAAGGACCGAGTTGACGAATGGCATTGCAGGAATCCAGGACAGTTGGCGACTGGACAGATGATGTTCACGGTAAACGCGGCGCCGACTCACCCGATGACGATAGCCTCCCGTCACGATTCACCCTCGCTGCTGGATGTCACCCCGACTTACCAACTCACCGACATCCAGCGAATCGCAAGCCTCGAACGCGAACTATTCGCACTCCGAACGCGGGGCGCGAGGGCACGCGAAATGGCGCAGACAGGACATTCAACACTTTCTCCTTCACCGGCTCCTGAACGACGAGCGAGGACCGAAACTCCCAAACCCGAACCCCGACCGACCACCCCGACTCAGTGACCGCCCCCAGTACCAGCTAAGGACGATGCTCCGATCCACCCATATGCCAAAGCCCAGGACGCCACCTATGCACCACCGCACGAACGCAACATAGGGGCCCCAGCGAAGATACCATCGGCAAAGAAGGACGCTCCGGCCTACAAAACCACGGCGCCGATCTATGACGAAAAGGTAGCAGCCGAGGTCTACAACAGGGCGATGGCCACTCAGGTGACGCTTACCCAGCGCGAACTACTCTCCCTCTCCACCAAAGTCCGTTCACAGGTCAGGGAAGCCACGTCGGCACGCCGATCGCCTGCCAGAGACGCCAGCAATGTTCGGACCTTCTACCAAGATGCCGATCTACCCTACGCCATCGACGATCTCGAACCACCGACTCGACCGACAGTCTCCTCCTTCGTCAATGTCCTGCACCAACCGGAAACACCCCCGCCGGGCGCGACCATCATCCCCGACATGTACGAAACGTACCTGAAGAATCTATAGCCCGGTCAGGTTCCTCAGCCGTTGATAGTTGCTAAAGAATCGTCTGCCCTAAGGTCCATCGTTCCCCTCGTCGATCATCAGCAGGAAGTCGAATGCATCATCGACCTGGGTTCACAAGTCATCGCTATGTCGGAAGGCATTTGCAACGAACTGTCGCTTATCTACGACCCCGAAATTGTCCTCAATATGCAGTCGGCGAATGGCGAAATCGACCGATCCTTGGGCCTGGCACGCAACGTTCCATTCCTCATCGGCGACATCACCCTGTACCTCCAAGTCCACATCATTCGGAACCCAGCCTATGACGTTCTCCTCGGTCGGCCCTTCGACATCCTCACCGAAAGTATCGTCAAAAATTATTCGAATGAAGACCAGACGATCACCATCAGCGACCCAAACACAGGACGATGAGCCACCATTCCGACGATCCGGTGAGGACCCCCTCGAGTTCTTCACCGAAGACAAGCGGGTTTTTGCGACTCGATGAATTGATCCAGGATCAAGGAGAAGTTGCACTGATCATTTCCACCGATCATGATACCCCCCATTTCCCACTTATCGAAGCGTCCTCAGATTTCCATTCTCCATCTCCCTCTCGTCGCGATCTTTGTCTCAAGTACATTATGGCCTCCGATTTGGGGCCCGAAAATCATCTCAAAAACAATCTCGATTCCGATATGTTGTCCTTATTCTCCTCAGTCGTTCCCGGTTCTCTCCATTCCACTGATATCGCCGACCCGGTCGCCATTTTCGCCGCCAAGCGCAAGTACAAACCGGTCGCACAGAAAACACGACCAGTCTTGGCCGACCTCCCCGAAAAGTTCCGAATCGTTCGGAACATCCTCGGTGACCCTCTCGCTGCCCTTCCGACGCTGACACCGAACCCCCCACCCTTCACGCCGACCGGCAGATACACAGCCGAACGACGCGACCTCATCGACAAAGTCCACTCGGACGACTTCCTTTGGCCGGCCGAACAACAGCTCATGCACCATTTCATGTGTCTACAAGAGATGGGATTTGCCTGGGACGATTCGGAACGCGGACGTTTCCGCGAGGATTTCTTTCCTCCAGTCAATATGCCGGTGGTCAAACACAAGCCCTGGGTTCAACGCAACATTCCGATTCCACCCGGTGATGAGCATGCACCCGCGCTAGGGTCCGAGGGAGGTCGTCGGGAAGCTTTGGGGAGATACCGAACAGCGCTCGACAAGTACCGAAGATGCCGACTTTTACCGAACACGATCGGTCCCTACCCGACCGACGACAAGCCACCGAAGGACGTCCGGCAGCACTTGGGTCAGTTTGCCCACACTTCACGTACTTACCATGACCGCATAGGAGTGTTACGATAAGTGTTTACGAGATCGGAGCCAGTATTCCGTATCGGCCGATGTCCTCCGTGAGTCGGTCGGTCCTTATCGCTTATCTTCCTGACTTCCGCATGGTCGGTCAAACGCGATCTTGCACCATTGCTTGGCCACCCCGGTCGTACGACACCTCTTCTTTATTTTTCATTGGCTCTCCAACGCCTGTTCCTGCTACCTACGCTCGGGCGACGGATCCCGAACGTTCGGGATTTCGACATCACTGATTACCTTTTACCTTATCACCTTCGGAACCCATATGGACATCTCACCTACCTTCCTATCTTCTCTGATCGCTGGGGCTTGGCGCCCATTCGACATCTACTCTCATTTCGGGTTCGATATTTTACTTAGGGGCGCTGTTTACTATAAAAACCTACATACAACTCTGGAATAAACCAGCTTTCGCACCCCACAGTTCAGAGCTCATTCGCACTCGTCTCAACCATCGAAATTGTCTCCATCGACTCCCGAAAACTTGTCACCCTCGTCGTTCGGCCTCATTCGCGTTCGTACTCGTCTCTTCGCTCGTACCCCCATCCTCCCTCGTATATTGTCAGAGTCCCGTGTGGCTCTTGAAGCACGTAGTTGTCGGTCGCGACACTACCTTCTCGTTACCGACCGAATCCCCGACACGACCGACCGAACGTTCGGTCGGTGTTCGGCGCAGTCCCGAAACCGTTCGGGCACTATAATCTCATACTCCCCGTTGCTCCTCAGTACGCCATCGATTTCTAAAGTCATCACTAACAATTCCTTGTGTATTAGATACTAGCTCCAGCACCCCCTTGCATTAGAGGTTGTTTTGGTGTTGTGCTCGGCACTTAGAGCCACCTCTAGCGTATCATTTTGGAGCCCACCGCGAGGGGTTAGTATTCAAAATTACCTCAAGGAATCTACGTCGCTCGTCCCGACCAACAGCGGAGCGCGAAGAACGACAAACAGTTATCGATAGCTTCAATACCCAGGAAACATCTGCCGACCGAAGTTTGTTCGGAGACGCCGATATAGTCCCAGAACACTTATCCCACCATCACTACCTTGATCTCGAATCCTCGCCATCGCTCTCGCCGCCACCCAACTCCACTTTCTTCTTAACCCCACCTTCGTCGCCGAACCGATCGCTACTCCCGCCGATTTCCCCCATCCTTGATCTTGCACTCTTAGAACAATCACCCCCGTCTCCTATCCCATCTCTCCACGACTCCATCTCTCCGTTAATCCCACGCAGCCCCGTCTTCTGGACGCCGACCATCCGACCGACTTCACTAGAACGCTCCTTCGAACCAGCGACTCCATCCCCGATCACCTTAGAAAACAATACCTTCTCCCCCACCTTTGACTTTCTCACTATGGCGACCCCATCCATGCCCGCTCGTGGAGATCGAACGGCCCCGACCTTTGACCCCCATCAACCCCGCGAATTGAGACGATATTTCTCCGATCTGGACTTCCACTTCGTTCGGTCTGCGGTAGTGGACGAACAAGAAAGAAAGAAACACGCTTGCCGATTCCTAGATGTCGACACCTGTGAGCTTTGGGAATCGCTCACCACTTTCACCGACGCCACGAAGACCTTCAAGGAGTTCTGCGAAGAGGTCTACAGGCTATACCCCGGATCGGAGGAAGAACGCAAATGGTCGGTATCGGATATGGACAAGCTAGTCGGCGAAACGAGCAGGGTCGGCATCTTGTCTCTCAGCGAACTCGGCGACTATCATCGGCGATTCCTGGCGATCACGGTATTCCTCCTCAGCAAGGCACGGATCTCGGTCGCCGAACAAGGACGCGCCTTCGCTAGAGGATTCCAACCGGAGCTATGGGCAAGAATCTCTCAACGTCTACAACTCAAGTTCCCCGATCATTTCCCAGACGACCCATACAACCTCCAAGACATCCACGACGCGGCCCGATTCGTCTTGCACGGCACCACGTCCGCCTACAGCACGACCCCTACCGACATCTCTCGAGCAGCCCCTGCCGCGCCGCCCACCAACGCGATCAAGGCCGAAGACCTGGCGACCATGTTCGAACGGCTCACCGACACCTTTGTCAAGGCCATCACAGCTCAGGGGACGACCAGGCCAGCCGATCGACCATCCCGACAGCCAGGACAAGGCGGCGACAACTGCATGTTCTGCGGCAGTCCCGAACACTTCATGCGCGCCTGTCCCGAGGTCACCGAATACATTCGAATCGGAAAATGCAAGAGGAATATCGAAGGGAAGGTGGTATTGTCAAGTGGGGCATTCGTACCGAGAGAAATCACGGGTAGTAACCTGAAGGACCGAGTTGACGAATGGCATCGCAGGAATCCAGGCCAGTTGGCGACCGGACAGATGATGTTTACGGTAAACGCGATGCCGACTCACCCAATGACAATAGCCTCCCGTCACGATTCACCCTCATTGCTGGATGTCACCCCGACTTACCAACTCACCGACGTCCAGCGAATCGCGAGCCTCGAACGCGAACTATTCGCGCTCCGAACGCGGGGCGCAAGGGCACGCGAAATGGCGCAGGCAGGACGTTCGGCACCTACCCCTTCACCGGCCCCCGAACGACGAGCGAGGACCGAGACTCCCGAACCTGAACCCCGGCCGACCACCCCGACTCAGCGACCGCCCCCGGTACCAGCCAAGGACGATGCTCCGATCCACCCATATGCCAAAGCCCAGGACGCCACTTATGCACCACCACACGACCGCAACATGGGAGCCCCGGCGAAGATACCATTGGCAAAGAAGGACGCTCCGGCCTACGAAACCACGGCGCCGATCTACGACGAGAAGGTAGCAGCCGAGGTCTACAACAGGGCGATGGCCACTCAGGTGACGCTTACCCAGCGCGAACTACTCTCTCTCTCCGCCGAAGTCCGTTCACAGGTCAGGGAAGCCACGTCGGCACGCCGATCGCCTGCCAGAGACGCCAGCAATGTTCGGACCTTCTACCAAGATGCCGATCTACCCTATGCCATCGACGACCTCGAACCACCGACTCGACCGACCGTCTCCTCCTTCGTCAATGTCCTGCACCAACCGGAAACACCCCCGCCTGGCGCAATCATCATCCCCGACATGTACGAAATGTACCTGAAGAATCTACAGCCCGGTCAGGTTCCTCAGCCATTGATAGTTGCTAAAGAATCGTCTGCCCTAAGGTCTATTATTCCCCTCGTCGATCATCAGCAGGAAGTCGAATGCGTCGTCGACCCGGGTTCACAAGTCATTGCCATGTCGGAAGGCATTTGCAACGAACTGGCGCTCATCTACGACCCCGAAATCGTCCTCAATATGCAGTCGGCGAACGGCGAAATCGACCGATCCTTGGGCCTGGCACGCAACGTGCCATTCCTCATCGGCGACATCACCCTGTACCTCCAAGTCCACATCATTCGGAACCCCGCCTACGACGTTCTCCTTGGTCGGCCATTCGACATCCTCACCGAAAGTATCGTCAAAAATTATTCAAACGAAGACCAGACGATCACCATCAGCGACCCGAACACGGGACGACGAGCCACCATTCCGACGATCCGGTGAGGACCCCCTCGAGTTCTTCACCGAAGACAAGCGGGTTTTTGCGACTCGATGAATTGATCCAGGATCAAGGAGAAGTTGCACTGATCATTTCCACCGATCATGATACCCCCCATTTCCCACTTATCGAAGCGTCCTCAGATTTCCATTCTCCATCTCCCTCTCGTCGCGATCTTTGTCTCAAGTACATTATGGCCTCCGATTTGGGGCCCGAAAATCATCTCAAAAACAATCTCGATTCCGATATGTTGTCCTTATTCTCCTCAGTCGTTCCCAGTTCTCTCCATTCCACTAATATCGCCGACCCGGTCGCCATTTTCGCCGCCAAGCGCAAGTACAAACCGGTCGCACAGAAAACACGACCAGTCTTGGCCGACCTCCCCGAAAAGTTCCGAATCGTTCGGAACATCCTCGGTGACCCTCTCGCTGCCCTTCCGACGCTGACACCGAACCCCCCACCCTTCACGCCGACCGGCAGATACACAGCCGAACGACGCGACCTCATCGACAAAGTCCACTCGGACGACTTCCTTTGGCCGGCCGAACGACAGCTCATGCACCATTTCATGTGTCTACAAGAGAGGGGATTTGCCTGGGACGATTCGGAACGCGGACGTTTCCGCGAGGATTTCTTTCCTCCAGTCAATATGCCGGTGGTCGAACACAAGCCCTGGGTTCAACGCAACATTCCGATTCCACCAGGCATCTACGACGAAGTGTGCCGACTTATCAAAACCAAGATCGCCGCTGGAGTCTATGAGCCGTCGAATTCGTCCTACCGATCGCGCTGGTTTACGGTTGTCAAGAAGACGAATAGCACCTCCACGGGCACCAAACTCCGAATCGTTCACAGCCTCGAACCCCTGAACGCCGTCACCATCCAGCATTCAGGTGTGCCCCCATATACCGATCAGATCGCTGAACAGTTTGCAGCTCGCGCTTGCGGCGGCATTCTGGATCTCTATGTCGGCTATGACGAACGAGGGCTCTCCGAATCATCTCGCGACTTCACCACGTTCCAGACCCCATTCGGCGCCCACCGACTCGTCACCCTACCCATGGGATGGACGAATTCGGTCCCGATCTTCCACGACGACGTCACCCACATCCTCCAGCCAGAGATCCCAGACACCACCATTCCTTTCATCGACGATGTTCCGATTCGGGGCCCACCGACCCGATACGAACTTCCGAACGGCGGCTTCGAGACGCACCCCGACAACTCCGGCATACGACGATTTGTGTGGGAACACTTTCAAGGCCTCAATCGAGTGGTTCAGCGGATGAAGTATAGCGGAGGGACCTTTTCGGGACACAAGGCGACGCTCTGCGCAGCCGAAATCACGGTGGTCGGCCATCGGTGCACATACGAAGGAAGATTACCCGACGAATCTAGGGTAGAGTCAATTATGAAGTGGGGACCTTGCAGGGATCTCTCTGACGTTCGGGCATTTTTGGGGACGATCGGTGTCGTTCGGATCTTCATTCTGAATTTTGCACACAGGGCGCATGCACTGACAATGTTAACGCGCAAAGATTTTCCATTCGTGTTCGGCCCAGACCAGATAGCGGCCCAGGACGACCTACGGTCGGCACTTCTCGAATCGCCAGCCCTTCGGCCGATCGACTATGGGTCGGCAGCCAACGTCATCCTCGCCGTCGATACCTCACAAATTGCGGTCGGCTTCCACCTCTGTCAATGCGCACTCGACAATCCGCGGGTTCGGTACTATGCTCGATTCGGCTCCATCACCCTTAACGACCGCGAATCGCGATTCTCCCAGCCGAAGCTCGAGCTCTACGGTCTCTTTCGCGCCCTCCGATCGCTCAAAATGTATCTCATCGGCGTTCGGAATCTGATAGTCGAAGTAGACGCACGCTATATCAAGGGCATGCTCACTAACCCGGATCTCGAACCCAGCGCCAGCATCAATCGGTGGATCGTCTCCATCCTCACCTTCCATTTCACACTTGTCCACGTCCCCGGCACCTCTCACGGCCCCGATGGCCTCTCCCGACGACCACCACAACCCTCCGATCGACCCGAACCCGAAGACGACTTTGACGACTGGATCGACAATCTCTACGGCTTCCTCCATCAGATCAACAACACGTTCCCCACCTCCATCTCAACCTCGACAACCGCCATCTTCACCTCCTCGCTCATAGGCGACCTCCCGACCGATACCGAGTCCGACGACGAAGGCCCGACCATCGACTATTCAGATATCCCAAGATCGCAAAAAGCTTTGGAAGCCGAAGAACGCCTATGGTTGGTCCGCGACTGGCACCGAACATTGGTTCGGCCCCCTTCTCTCTCCGACTCCGAATATGCGACTTTTCTACGATATTGCACTGAGTTCTTTATCGCAGCCGACAAGCTATGGAGAAAAGACTCACATGGCCGACACAAGATTGTTGCAGCCCCCTCTAGTCGGATCACAATCCTCACTGCCGCCCACGACGACGTCGCTCACAAGGGTTTCTACGCCACGACTGCCTTGATCGCCGAACGCTTCTGGTGGCCGCACATGAGGCAAGACATTTCCTGGTTTGTTCGGACCTGTCACCTTTGCCAGATTCGCCAGACTCGCAACGTCCTCATTCCCCCGACCGTCGCTACGCCTGCACCACTCTTCGCGAAGATGTATATGGACACCATGCACATGCCGACCGCCGGTGGTTTCAAGTATCTCGTGCAAGGCCGCTGTTCGGTATCACACTACCCCGAATTCCGCATGCTGCGACGCGAAACAAGCTCCGCACTCGCCGACTGGATCTTCGAGGATATCCTGTGCCGATGGGGAACACTGGTAGAGATTGTCTCCGACAACGGACCGGCATTCGTCAAGGCGCTCGACCAGCTAGCAAAGAAGTACCACGTTCGGCACATTCGCATTTCGGGCTACAATTCCCGCGCCAACGGCATCGCCGAACGACCTCACTTCGACGTTCGGCAGGCTCTGTTCAAAGCCGTTGATGGAGACCAGGCCAAGTGGAATCGTGCAGCTCATTTCGTATTCTGGGCTGATCGTATTACTGTTCGGTGCCGAATGGGTTGCTCGCCATACTTCGCAGCGACCGGAACCCATCCCCTCCTTCCCCTCGACATCGCCGAAGCCACCTATCTTCTACCACCACCGACCACGGCCCTCAGCACCACCGACCTCATTGCTCGACGTGCCATCGCTTTGCAGAAACGACGATCGGACCTCGCCCACCTTCGCAGCTCAGTAGTCGGCGCCCGTGTCCAGGCCGCCATCCGATTCGAACAACAGCATTTGGCCACACTTCGCGACTTCAATTTCCACCGAGGCTCGCTTGTCCTGATGCGCAACACAGCCATAGAAAAGGCGCTCAATCGGAAGATGCGTCCACGTTATTTAGGACCTTTGCTAGTAATTTCTAGGAATCGGGGAGGAGCGTATATTTTGGCCGAACTCGATGGATCGGTCTTTGATCGACCAGTTGCAGCATTCCGCGTTATTCCTTATTTTGCTCGCAGGTCTCTGAAGCTCGCCGACCTTGAAGCCCTCCTCGACATCTCGCAGGAACGCCTTCGGGCCATGGAAGATTCCCGATCGAGCGACGACGACACCGAAGACGATAGTGCCGATGAAGATACCGACACCAGCTCAGTCCGATCGGCGGAGGACGACGACGCGGCTTCGGCGACCTCCGACTAGATCCCACCCTCCCACCCTTCGCTCTCTTCGGTCGGTGACTGGGGACAGTCACGATTTCAGTAGGGAGGAGGATTCACAGATATACCCATTCCTTATCTTCGTTTATTCGTCACAGACATGGACTGACGCCCAATCATTTCTACATATCTTAGTACTTTTACCACCGACCGATCGCCGACCGAATAGTCGGCACTCATTTTCCCATCACTCCTTCAAGTACCAAGCCGCATTGAAGACTTCTTCCGATTTGCGCAAAACCATAGGGTTTTATGCCTGTGATGACATACTGAGGCTTCCCCTAAATATTCCAATTTATTTTCTGCATTTCTGCCGAACACGTCGCTTACAACTACATTCACACGCAGTCATTTCGCCGACCGATTTCTCGAACGACACCTCTAGTCTTCGCCAAAAAACGTCTCATTCAAACTAGGACAGTCCTTTCACTATTATGTTACATTTATCTGTACTACAGAAATCGCCGAAACTATTCTACTCATCGGGAATGAAATCGCCCGACACAGACATATCCGAATCCTCCGCCGCCGACGAATCCTCGACCAAGACGACGTCCGAAGACGTAGACGGACCCGCCTGCACCTCGAGCGACTCCAACTCCGCCTGCCACATCTTGATCGACCGCGCCAACGAAGCCCGCGTACCCTCCGCCACAGCGATCCGGTACCGAAGATCGGACGCGATGCCTTGCGCAACGATCGGCGACAAACGAGACGAGTCGGACAGGGCGGGGACGGCGACAGAACGGGAGCGGGAGGAGGAGGGAACGGCACGGGTGGTGGTGGGAAGGCGTTGGACAGGCTTCCGAGCCCGCACACCTGAGACAACCCGATGAGCTCCCATCCCAGCACTAATCAAACCGGTACTCACCTCTGGTCTGCGCTATGCTTGCACCGACAGAACGTTCGGGCATGAGGACCTCGACCTTGCGTTTTTTTGACGGGCGCAACAGTTCATTCGCTTCCGACTTGTCGGAAACCTTCCCCTTCGACTTCCCCTTACCCGTCGACTTTCCTTTCCCCGTCGACTTTCCTTTCCCCGTCGGTGTCCACCCGGGCTGGAAACTGCACCCCTTTTGCTGGTCGGCGCACTTGATACAAGACACCTGACCAGGCCGGGTGTAGCAACGAAACGCCACGGTCGAGAAATCGGAGGAGCACCGACTACAGGCGTACTCGGCCTAGAAAAGAAGAAGGTCAGTCTCAGGAGGCGGCAAAAGGGAAGGGACGCACCAGGCGATCACCAGATACTAGCCCAGGGGGGTCCTTGAAGACCTTACCGGCACCATTCCGTTCCTCTGGGGCCCGAACCGTCGACATCCTGCCGTGACCAGGGCCCAGAGGAAGCACGACGCGGCCGGAAGATGGCGTCCGTTGACGCGCGAACTCGACAACAACAGCAGCCGCCGACGGCTTGCCGTTCACATTGGTCGGGGCGGCCGAAGCGACCGGGTCGACGCTCATGCGATGCAAGGCGGCGGTTGCGGATGCGAGGTCGGACTCGGCGACCGAGGGATGAGGTTGAGAAGGCGAAGGGGCGAAGGAGGGCTCGGGACGAGAGGAGGACGCGGCAGGAACGGATGGAGAAGGAGAACGAAGAAAGAGAGGGAGAGGAAGAACGGACTCGGCTTCTAGGGCGGCCATCTGACGATCTCCCTCTTCCGCATCGAGCAACCCACTGAACATCGCCTCCACCAGTGCCTCCCGGCGACGCTGACGACCTTCTTCGGCCACCCGAAGGATAGAAGCAGCGCGCGCCGCCTCAGCCTCCTCAGCCTCGCGTTCGGCAGCGGCTACCCGCGCAGCTTCCTCCTCCAGGGCCTGTGCCTCGACCGCTTGTTGCTGCGCGGCAAAGCGCACCGCACACTGCGGCAAGATTCGCGTTCCCCAGGCTAGCCAGTGGTCGGTGGCCATATGATCGAGGCCGCGCTCGGCCTCGGCGATCCAGTCGGCAAGTTCGGGCACTTCCTGCCCACGCGCCGATCGGTCGAACACAGCCTACGAAGGTGTCAGCATCTAAGCACAAACAAGAGGAAGAGCCGACTTACCACTCGTTTGGCAAACCCCTGCGCCCAGGCCTCGTAATCTTCGTACTCGGCGGCGCCATCGGGAAGGGCGAGCATGTACTCCCCGAGCTTGGTTTTGAGGACAGAGAGGAGGGAAGACATGGTGGGAAGGCCGAAAGGAGTCGGACGAGGAGACGAAGTGGCGGGAAGAGGGCGATACAGGACTTAGTCGCTGGAGAATCAACGATCATCAGGTGATTGTGGTCACCTGACGAAGCCCCGTGCCGCTGCGTTCGGCAGAAGCCGCGATACGCGCCACCGCTCTTTGCCGACACGACTCTCACGCCAGCGTCTAGTTGGGACACTCTAGGTCTCAGCCACTGCCTCACCTAATCAGTTGCCACGCCACAGGACTTTGCCAACTCAGCCCCGGTCTCTCTTGCGCGCCGACCCGGTCCTTTCTACGACATCTCCTTGCCGATTATTCACCTGTGCCACATCTCTCCCACGCACCCACCCCTGTCCACGCCACCGCTCATAGCCGATCTTTTCCCACGAAACTTGCCACACCGCTCCATTTTCCACGCCACAGCTATTCTTTCCACGCTATCGCTTGTTACCAACTCTTTCCCACATTTTCCACACCACTTTTTTCCGCTCCGACTCATAGTCGCCGACCACTGACTGAGGACAGTCAGGATTTCAGTAGGGAGGAGATGATGAGCATGCACCCGCGCTAGGGTCCGAGGGAGGTCGTCGGGAAGCTTTGGGGAGATACCGAACAGCGCTCGACAAGTACCGAAGATGCCGACTTTTACCGAACACGATCGGTCCCTACCCGACCGACGACAAGCCACTGAAGGACGTCCGGCAGCACTTGGGTCAGTTTGCCCACACTTCACGTACTTACCATGACCGCATAGGAGTGTTACGATAAGTGTTTACGAGATCGGAGCCAGTATTCCGTATCGGCTGATGTCCTCCGTGAGTCGGTCGGTCCTTATCGCTTATCTTCCTGACTTCCGCATGGTCGGTCAAACGCGATCTTGCACCATTGCTTGGCCACCCCGGTCGTACGACACCTCTTCTTTATTTTTCATTGGCTCTCCAACGCCTGTTCCTGCTACCTACGCTCGGGCGACGGATCCCGAACGTTCGGGATTTCGACATCACTGATTACCTTTTACCTTATCACCTTCGGAACCCATATGGACATCTCACCTACCTTCCTATCTTCTCTGATCGCTGGGGCTTGGCGCCCATTCGACATCTACTCTCATTTCGGGTTCGATATTTTACTTAGGGGCGCTGTTTACTATAAAAACCTACATACAACTCTGGAATAAACCAGCTTTCGCACCCCACAGTTCAGAGCTCATTCGCACTCGTCTCAACCATCGAAATTGTCTCCATCGACTCCCGAAAACTTGTCACCCTCGTCGTTCGGCCTCATTCGCGTTCGTACTCGTCTCTTCGCTCGTACCCCCATCCTCCCTCGTATATTGTCAGAGTCCCGTGTGGCTCTTGAAGCACGTAGTTGTCGGTCGCGACACTACCTTCTCGTTACCGACCGAATCCCCGACACGACCGACCGAACGTTCGGTCGGTGTTCGGCGCAGTCCCGAAACCGTTCGGGCACTATAATCTCATACTCCCCGTTGCTCCTCAGTACGCCATCGATTTCTAAAGTCATCACTAACAATTCCTTGTGTATTAGATACTAGCTCCAGCACCCCCTTGCATTAGAGGTTGTTTTGGTGTTGTGCTCGGCACTTAGAGCCACCTCTAGCGTATCACCGGCATCTACGACGAAGTGTGCCGACTTATCAAAACCAAGATTGCCACTGGAGTCTATGAGCCGTCAAATTCGTCCTACCGATCACGCTGGTTTATGGTCATTAAGAAGACGAATAGCACCACCACTGGCACCAAACTCCGAATCGTTCACAGCCTCGAACCCCTGAATGCCGTCACCATCCAGCATTCAGGTGTGCCCCCATATACCGATCAGATCGCTGAACAGTTTGCAGCTCGCGCTTGCGGCGGCATTCTGGATCTCTATGTTGGCTATGATGAACGAGGGCTCTCCGAATCATCTCGCGACTTCACCACGTTCCAGACCCCATTCGGCGCCCACCGACTCGTCACCCTACCCATGGGATGGACGAATTCGGTCCCGATCTTCCACGACGATGTCACCCACATCCTCCAGCCAGAGATACCAGACACCACCATTCCTTTCATCGACGATGTTCCGATTCGGGGCCCGCCGACCCGATACGAACTTCCGAACGGAGGCTTCAAGACGCATCCCGACAACCCCGGCATACGACGGTTTGTGTGGGAACACTTTCAAGGCCTCAATCGAGTGGTTCAGCAGATGAAGTATAGCGGAGGGACCTTTTCGGGACACAAGGCGACACTCTGCGCAGCCGAAATCACGGTGGTCGGCCATCGGTGCACGTATGAAGGACGATTACCCGACGAGTCTAGGGTAGAGTCAATTATGAAGTGGGGACCTTGCAGGGATCTCTCTGATGTTCGGGCATTTTTGGGGACGATCGGTGTCGTTCGGATCTTCATTCGGAATTTTGCACACAGAGCGCATGCACTGACAATGTTAACGCGCAAAGATTTTCCATTCGTGTTCGGCCCAGACCAGATAGTGGCCCAGGACGACCTCCGGTCAGCGCTTCTTGAATCGCCAGCCCTTCGGCCGATCGACTATGGGTCGGCAGCCAACGTCATCCTCGCCGTCGATACCTCACAAATTGCGGTCGGCTTCCACCTCTGTCAATGCGCACTCGACAATCCGCGGGTTCAGTACTATGCCCGATTCGGCTCCATCACCCTTAACGACCGCGAATCGCGATTCTCCCAACCCAAACTCGAACTCTACGGCCTCTTCCGCGCCCTCCGATCACTCAAAATGTACCTCATCAGCGTTCGGAACCTGATAATCGAAGTAGATGCACGCTACATCAAGGGCATGCTCACTAACCCGGATCTCGAACCCAGCGCTAGCATCAATCGATGGATCGTCTCCATCCTCACCTTCCATTTCACACTCGTCCACGTCCCCGGCACCTCTCACGGCCCCGATGGTCTCTCCCGACGACCACCACAACCCGCCGACCGACCCGAACCCGAAGACGACTTTGACGACTGGATCGACAATCTCTACGGCTTCCTCCATCAGACCAACAACACGTTTCCCACTGCCAACTCAACCTCGACAACAGCAATCTTTACCTCCTCACTCATAGGCAACCTCCCGACCGAGGCCGACTCCGACGACGAAGGCCCGACCATCGACTATTCAGATATCCCAAGATCGCAGAAAGCTTTGGAAGCCGAAGAACGCCTATGGTCGGTCCGCGACTGGCACCGAACATTGGTTCGGCCCCCTTCTCTCTCCGACGCCGAATATGCCACCTTCCTACGATATTGCACTGAGTTCTTTATCGCAGCCGACAAGCTATGGAGAAAAGACTCACACGGTTGACACAAGATCGTTGCAGCCCCCTCTAGTCGGATCACAATTCTTACTGCCGCCCACGACGACGTTGCTCACAAGGGTTTCTACGCCACGACCACCTTGGTCGCCGAACGCTTCTGGTGGCCGCACATGAGGCAAGATATTTCCTGGTTTGTTCGGACCTGTCACCTCTGCCAGATTCGCCAGACTCGCAATGTCCTCATTCCCCCGACTGTTGCCACACCCACACCACTCTTCACGAAGATGTATATGAATACCATGCACATGCCGACCACCAGCAGTTTCAAGTATCTCATTCAAGGCCGCTGTTCGGTATCACACTCCCCCGAATTCTGAATGCTGCGACGCGAAACAAGCTCAGCCCTCGCCGACTGGATCTTCGAGGATATCCTGTGCCGATGGGGAACATTGGTAGAGATCGTCTCCGACAACGGACCAGCGTTCGTCAAGGCGCTCGACCAGTTAGCAAAAAAGTACCATGTTCGGCACATCCGTATTTCGGGCTACAATTCCCGTGCCAACGGCATCGCCGAACGACCTCACTTCGACGTTCGGCAGGCCCTGTTCAAAGCCGTTGATGGAGATCAGGCCAAGTGGAATCGTGCAGCTCATTTCGTATTCTGGGCTGATCGCATTACTGTTCGGCGCCGAATGGGTTGCTCGCCATACTTCGCAGCGACCGGAACCCATCCCCTTCTCCCCCTCGACATCGCCGAAGCCACCTACCTCCTGCCACCGCCGACCACAACCCTCAGCACCACCGACCTCATCGCCCGACGGGCCATAGCCTTGCAGAAACGCCGATCGGACCTCGCCCACCTTCGCAGCTCAGTTGTCGGCGCCTGTGTCCAGGCCGCCATCCGATTCGAACAACAGCATTCGGCCACCCTTCGCGACTTCAATTTCCACCGAGGCTCGCTTGTCCTGATGCGCAACACAGCCATAGAAAAGGCGCTCAATCGGAAGATGCGTCCACGGTATTTGGGACCTTTGCTGGTGATTTCTAGGAACCGAGGAGGAGCGTATATTCTGGCCGAACTTGACGGATCGGTCTTTGATCGGCCAGTGGCAGCATTCCACATTATTCCTTACTTTGCTCGCAGATCTCTGAAGCTCTCCGACCTTGAAGCCCTCCTTGACATCTCACAAGCACGCCTTCGGGCCATGGAAGAATCCAGATCGAACGACGACGACGCTGAAGACGACGACGCCGACGAAGAGGATACCGACACCAGCTCCATCCGATCAGCAGAAGACGATGATGTGGCTTCGGCGACTTCCGACTAGACCCACCCTCCCACCCTTTGCTCTCTTCGGTCGGTGACTGGGGACAGTCACGATTTCAGTAGGGAGGAGGATGCACAGATATACCCATTCCTTATTCCAATTCATTCGTCACAGACATGGACTGACACCCGATTATTTCCGCATCTCTTAGTACTTTTGCCGCCGACCAATCGCCGACCAAATAGTCGGCACTCATTTTCCCCATCACTCCTTCAAGTACCAAGCCGCATTGAAGACTTCTTCCGATTTGCGCAAAACCATAGGGTTTTATGCCTGTGATGACATACTGAGGCTTCCCCTAATATTCCAATTTATTCTCTTCATTTCTGCCGAACGCTTTGCTTACAAGTACATTCACACAGCCATTTCGCCGACCGATTTTCCGAAACAATGCCTCTAGTCTTCACCGAACGTCTCAGTTAAACTCAGGACAGTCCCTTCACTTTTATGATACATTTTACTATACGACAGAACCCTCGAAGCTATTCTACTCATCGGGAAGAAAGTCGTCCGACACCGACCTTCCCGAATCGTCTGCCTCCGACGAGTCCTCGACCAAGACAGCGTCGGGGGACGTGGATGGACCCGCCCGCACCTCGAGCGACTCGAGCTCAGCCTGCCACATCGCGACCGATTGCGCCAGCGAAGCACGCATACCCTCAGCCACCGCGATGCGGTACCAAAGCTCAGACGCGATGCCTTGGGCGATGATGGGCGAGAGAAGAGAAGAGTCAGAAGGAGCGGGGAAGGCAGCCGAACGAGCGCGGGAAGGGCGGGTAGGAGCGAGGACGGCCCTAGCCGTGGTAGGAAGCCGCTGGACCGGCTTTCGGGTGCGAACGGCTGCACCGAACAATACCGAACGATGAGCTCCCATCTCCAATCCAACCGAAAAATGACTTACCTTTCGTTTGGGCGATGCTATCCCCGACTGACCGCACGGGGACAACTACCTCTACCTTACGACGCTTTAAGGGGCGTTCCCTCTCCTCCGCCTTGGGCGCCGACTGCTCCTTCGCCTTCGCCTTCCCCTTCTCCTTCGACTTCCCCTTCCCCTTCTCCATCGGCATCCACCCGGGCTGGAAGCTACACCCCTTCGACTCCCTGGCACACTTAGTGCATGACACCAGCCCAGGTCTCTGGTAGCAACGGAACGCCTTGGTCAGAAAGGCGGTCGCACAGCGGTGACAAGCGTAGTTGGCCTAGAAGAAGGATGGTTAGCAAGAGGAAACGGCGGCAAGAGGGAGGGAACTCACCAGTACATCACCAGGTAACAACTCGGGCGGATCTTCGAGCATTTTACCGGCACCATTCCGCTCCACAGGGGACCTAACGGTCGACATTCGGCCCGTCCCAGGGCCGAGAGGAAGGACAACGCGTCCAAGAGGTGGCGTCCGTTGGTGAGCAAACTCGACGACGACAGCCGCGGCCGACTGTTTGCCCTTCACGTCGGTCGGGGCAGCGGCGGCGACCCGACCCACGCTCATTCGGTCCAGGGCATCGGTTGCGGATGCAAGCACAGAGTCAGCGGCGGACGGGTCAGGATAGGACGAGTCGGCGGACAGGTCGGGATAGGACGAGTCGGCGGACGGGTCGGGATGGGATAAGTTGGCGGACGGGACAGGATGAGAAGAGGAAGCGGCGGCGGAGGGAGAAGGAGAGAGAAGGAAGAGAGGGAGAGGGAAGACGGACTCGGCCTCGAGCTCAGCCAATTGACGCTCACCCTCTTCAGGATCGAGCGAGCCATCAAACATCACGTCCACCAGCACCTCCCGGCGCCGTTCGCGATCTTCTTCAGCCGACTTCCGAGCCGCAGCAGCCCGCGTCGCCTCAGCTTCGGCAGCCTCCTGTTCGGCGACGGCAACACGCTCCCTCTCCTCCACTAGTGCCTGTTCCTCGGCCGCCTGTTGTTGCTGCAACACGACGCGCGCCGCCCGCTGCGGCAGGATTCGCGCTCCCCATACCAGCCAGTTGTCAGTAGCCATCGGATCGAGACCACGTTCGGCCTTGGCGATAAAGTTGGCGAGTTCGGGCACGTCTTGCCCACGCGCAGAACGGTCGAAAACAGCCTGTCGGGCGTCAGCAGCCAGCAGAAGACGAGAGGAAGGACTGACTCACCACCCGTTTGGCGAACCCTTGCCCCCAGACCTCGTAATCCTCATATTCGGCAGCGCCGTCCGGGAGGGAGAGCATGTAGTCGGCGAGTTTCGCCTTCAGGACAGAGATAAGGGACGACATGAGAGATGAAGAGGGAGGAAGGAAGGCGATGAGGGACTTAGTCGCTGGAGAATCAACGATCATCAGGTGATTGTGGTCACCTGACAAAGCCCCGTGCTGCTGCATTCGGCAGAAGCCGCGATACGCGCCACCGCTCTTTGCCGACACGACTCTCACGCCAGTGTCTAGTTGGGGCACTCTAGGTCTCA